CTCTGCAGCCTTCAGTATTGATTTGACTTTTTGATTTTTATTAAGCTGCAATAGCCATTTGAATTCGGTTTTCTTGAGATAAAGGCATTTTTGATAGTGGTGGTGATAAAATGACGCGTTGAAAAAAGGAAGTGGTAGGGTGGAGGAAAATTCGTCGCTCGGTGGTATTCGTCGCTCGGTGGTTGATTACGTTAAATAATGTAGATTAGATAAGTAGACTTCAACCCCCCCCCCCCCCCTCCTCGTCTATATAAAGAAATTATTTTTATTTTATTCGTCTTCCTATACGTATAGCCTGTATAGAATTCTATTCTAATTCTAATACAATATCGAAGGCGTGTTTTGTCTATATGTATATGTATATAGTACCGTGCGTGATCCTTCATACTCATGCGACTAAAATAAAGACCATGCAATGACAAGACAATGAGCACCCAGGTATATATGTACAGTACATACATCATCCAGTAGCTATGCTACATCAATAGCCGGGTATAGCCGGGTATTATATGATTATAAAGTGGACCTGTCCACGCCCATACTCTCTCCCTCCCTCTCTATCCTATCCTATCCTATCCCTTTCCTATCCTATCCTCCATAAACAGTATACATACGTCATGCAGAAAGAAAAGGACGAGAAAAATGAATTAATTAAGCTGGCATCATCTCAATCCGTGGGTGTGATGGTTTTGTGCCGCTGCTTGTTCCTCCTCCCTTCTTCGTCGAAGAAGACGTTGCACGACTGCTGCTGCCGTTGCTCTTACTGCTGCTAGTCTTGGTTCGCTGGGACCCTGAGGAGAATTTCCGCTTTGATGTCGTGGACTTATTCTTCCAGCCCCGCTTGTAGCCTGATCGCTGTCGACTTCGAGATGCGGTCGACGCGGTGGACGGAGATGCTGATCGATGACTGGTCGTGCTGCGGATAGTGTCAAGGTCCGTTACTAACGCGAGAAAGTTAGTCATCAGGTCATCCAATATATGAGAATTGAGACAGAGAAAGAGGTTACATTGCGTGCTGCCAGCAGGCCTTGACGATCTGTTCTGTACAGATCGACTCGACGAATTGTCGAAATATCGGCTGGTGATGTTTTGGGTGCTGGCGTCCAGGCTGTCAGCGTCGTTGAAAATCTCTTCACCGCTGCTGTACTCGTCGTCACTGCTGATGTTGATGACGGTAGCATGGTTCGGATCCGGCACGACATCATTATCCTCCGGGCTCTCCTTCTTTTTCATCCTTTCATAGAGGCGTTTCGCGTCTCGGACAAGCTGGGCAAACTGGGACCCGTAACGTTCTACTTTATCCGCATCGATACCAGGAATTGCAAGCATCTGATCCACGTCTGGGAGTTATGTCAGTAAAGGAAGTCCCGGCATGTTGACAGCAGACTTCTTACCTGTAGTGAAGCGAATCGCCATTTCGCGCAAAATGAGGTCCGGGAAAGGTTGATTTCGGAGATTCTTCTGCATCTTGATCTAAACACACACAATTAGATATTGCAGGTTTGGAGGGGAAGGCCAACATACCAGATCACACTCCTCCTTTGCTTGTCTGACGAATTCTTCAACTACCAGTCGATGGGATGGGTCTAGATCCTTCATCCTGGTATCATCGGTAATCGGAGGTCCCACTGTATTTTTCTTGGATCGATTCGGTTTTCCTGCGATACGAATCCTCTCGAAGCCATCGCTGTCGGCATCGTCATCATCATCATCGTCTTCATGACCTGACGACGGTCTCTTCTTAGCGCCTGTTTGCCTTGGCGGATTTGCCGACGACGCGATGCAGACTGGACAGGAGATGGCACGTTGGTGGACTGCGGATAGTCATCCATAGCAGCAGCAACTCCAGTAACATTGGAATTCTGTGGACGCTTTTTCTGACCATCAGGCGAGACGCGTATTTGGAGTTTGAGCTGACGCTCTCCGTTGGAAAATTCGGCGGCTTTTGGCCCAAGGATAACGTATTGGTGGGTAAATTGTCGGCGGCCGTGGCCGCTCACTTTGACCTCCTCCTCTAAGGCTTCTTCGCTCAACAGTCGAAAAAACAATCGTTCAACCACACCTAGTTCCAGATCGCTGCCAGCACCGTACCCCGGCAGTTTCTTGTGGGCTTCGCTGATCCTTTTCAGCGAGCCCGCAAATATATCGATACACTGGAGTAAAGTCACATCTTCCTTGCGTTCCTGGAAACCACCCACAAGTTCTAGAGCCCGTACAGCATAATTAGTAAAGTCGCGGGTTTCGAAGACGGCGTCTGATTTGCAATTATCGCAGCAGCGGTGGCAATCCTCCCGACGGAAAGACTCGTTGAAGTACGCCAGGATTTGGACCCTCCTGCAGTCAATCCGATTTTCACAGAACTGGATGACGTTTCGCAACATCTGGCGCTGACGGTCCTTTAGCACCCGGTCACCTTCACCTTTGTCGATCAGACGTCTCTGGACTGCTGTATCTCTATAACTGTAGAACAGATAGCAACCAGAGCGCTTCCCATCTCGACCGGCCCGCCCGGTCTCCTGATAATATCCTTCCAGGCTCTTTGGCATCGTATGGTGAATGACAAAACGAACGTCTGGTTTGTCGATACCCATTCCAAAAGCAATTGTTGCCACAATCACGTCATACTTCCCAGCTTGCCAGTCGCGTTGGATCTTCGTTCTGCGTGCAGCTTCCATGCCAGCATGGTAATGCACAGCTCTGATACCGTGATCCTTTTTCAGCTGTTGAGCAACTTTCTCGCAGTCGGCCCGGGAGGCACAGTAAACTATGCCAGCTTTACGCTTGTACAGAGAGGTAATAATCTCCGCTATCCGTGCAACAACGTCTGCCGCCTTTCCTTTTTTCGGGAGCACGTCGTAGGTGAGATTCGGTCGGTTGAAGCTTTGTGAAAAGATATCGCAGCCGTCCATTCTCAGATTGTGTATAACGTCCGCTTTGACATTCTCCGTGGCTGTTGCAGTAAGCGCCATGACTGGAACACCAGGAAATTCGGCGCGAATAACTCCTAATTCTTTGTAGTCCGGACGGAAATCGTGACCCCATTGGCTTACACAGTGAGCTTCGTCAATAACAAGGCGAGCAAATTTCCCGTTGTGATATAGTTTTCGTAAACTGCTGCGAAGATTCGAACTCTTATTGATCATCTCAGGAGTGATATATAGCAGCTGTATGGTCTCATCGGCTGTGCGTTTTGCCAGAGTGTCCACAACAAATTTTCGGTGTTCTTGACTAGCATCGCCATTGATGAAGAAGGCCTTTATTTTCAGTTGGTTCAGATGCTCAACTTGGTCCTCTATAAGGCTCAGCAAGGGCGATACGACAACGGTGACACCTTTTGTTTTACCACTGTTGATCACGGACGGTAGTTGATAACATAGCGACTTGCCGCCTCCCGTGGGCATAAGAACAAATGCGTCCTTGCCGCTCAGTGTTGCATTGATCGCTTCCAGTTGGTTAGGGCGAAAGCCGCGCAGATGGAAGCGGTCTTTCATCACAGCCTTGACATCCTTTGACCAAGGATAGCTCATCAGCGAAGCGGGGTCCGGCGGTGTCATCTTCTTAGTCGGCGAGGTCGACGGGACCCGATTGATATTCCCTGAGGTTTCAGCAAACACTTGGCGGTTCTGCGAACCGTACTCTTCCGTTGATGGGACATGGGCATCCTCGAAGTTGTTAGCCGCTTCGAGGAAGTCGTCGTGGTCCAAAGCGTCGAGATCAAACTCGTCTAGCTCATCTCCCATAGCAGGTGGCGAACCCATATTCCGAGTGAAAAGATCCTCATCATCAAACTCGAAATCATTGCTGTCGTCCTCATTAACGATCGTGTTACTGGCCTTGCTGGAGGCCGTGATGCTGGGCACTGTCGGCTTCGAAGGCGATTGCCGCTGCACTCCAGGTGCTGGACTTTTACTACCCTCACCTAGCTTATCCTGAACTCGCTCTGGCAGAGGCGGGACGGGAAATTGCTGCGTGGCTTCTACCAAGACACTCGTGTCTGAAGTTCCACCCAATATTGACGGGTCAGAAAAGTCAAAGTCCACAAGCTTCAGGAGATCTGCCATCCGCGCTTCGATCTCCTGGAGATTTTTGGCAATAGACCGACTTTCTTCCAGTTCCGCTGTCTTCGTCGTCAGATCACCTCCTTGCTCAATGGCCTGGATCATCATTTTCTTCAGACTTTCCTTCTTTGCCGCGCATTCCTGGTAGGCCACTCGGTCCACTTTTAGTTGTTCAATCCCATTGATTCTGGAAATTAGGGATTTATTTTGAGCAATCACCTCCGATGGAGGTGCCTCTCCTTCCATAGCGAACTGATACACGATCTCCGCATTTGCCTTGAGCTCCCGGCGAAGTGTCGCAAGGGCCTTGTCAATAGCTTCAGCAGGTAGCTCCAGAAAGTTTGAGACATTTGTGTTTCTACATCCCTGGGAAAAAGAAGGCGTTGGGACACTTTCCAAGGAACGAATATCCTCAGCATTTCTATGTCCCTTACTCTGCGAGGCACGGTAAGGGGAAGTACTCGGAGGAGGCTCATTGCTGGTGGGAGCTGCTACCTCAATCACGTCCTCAGTCTCAGGCTTTGGGGGTGCCAGAGACTTATTCGTTTTAGATCTGGGCTGAGAGAGCTTGGAGAGGTTCGGATAAAGTACCTCATCCGAATCAGAAGAAAGCACATCCAGATCGTGAACCTCGTCAGCATGACCCTGATCACCATCCTCGTCATCGGAGTCGGCAATAACCCTTTTGCGGCCGCGACGATTGGTGGTACTGGAGCTGTTCTTTAACGTTGGGCGTATGTGTGATTGGTGGCTGGTTCCTCGCGCGGGTGTCTTGGGCGTTCTGGCAACATGCTTTGGTGATGCGAGAGAAGTAGATTCATCGACCACTCTTGTTTTCGCTGGTGATCCAGAGGATCTGATCCGAGGAGAGCTCTTCCCAGGTGACACAAGGTCCGATTCGTATTCCTCGCTTTTCCGTTTTTTCCCTCTCTTTGGAAGAGGCTCCTTGCGAGATGCAAAATCCTCACGCCACAAACGTTGCGGTTCTCCAAATACCTCAGTGGTGCCAGACGACGTAAATTGGTCGTTATCACCAGTTAGGTCAATGGATTCCACTCCATCGAACGACTTCAAGTCCGGCAGCGGTGACGGTAATGCAGAGTGATGGGAGGGCGTCTTCCGCGTCGTAGGATTCGGCGAGAAGAGTTCTGAGTCTATTGACAATATGACGCGTTAGCTTCCAATTCATTTGTTGCGAGGGACAATCGGAGCCCTTTTTAATCGAACCTTTGACCGAACTGCGCTGCTGGGTATCGAGCCGCGCACTGGCATTCTCCCGAGACACGCGAGTACCTGGAGTCTTTGGCGTACTTGAGGGAGCATTGTTCATGCAAGTAAGCATCCGAGGTTTCGTTGCCGATTTGGGAGCAAATTCCAGCCGTGCCATGTCCGCGTCCGCAATGACGATATCTCCATCATCGTCCACAATCACCTCTGGCTCATTATTCCTGGGGTGTGCCTGATCCGACTTCGCCAATGACTTCTGGAGTGTTCCAGTCGACTCTGCATTTACCGAAACAGGTGGGCTTGTTGTCGTCGTTGTCGTCACAACAGTCGTGGTGCCGCCTTCATCTGGTCGCGTCGACAGGTCCAGAGTTGGGTACAGCGATGGACCACGGTTTAAAAGCCAGGCCAGATGCTGTCCCAAGTTAGTCCTGGTCATAAGGGCGTCTCATCGCTTCCAGCGTCCCGAAACAAACTTTCGATCTGCAATTGAACTTGGCCGAGTCAACTGATGTAGTTCATTATTATTGTCCACAACACAAGAATGAGGACGCTAACTAATCGACGATACGCGTCCCGGTCCCGCGTACACACGTGACACCGCCTTCAACGCCGCTTACCTAGACAGATTAATCGATAGAAAGAACACTGTCCATTTTCTACTAAAACAGCCAATCACTATTAATTATTATTTCCCAATGCAGTCCTCATGCGCGCGTTGACCAATACAGAAAACACTTTCTCTTTGACGAAGAAAAATCATCCTCACATTTAAGACGCGTAGCGCAATCCAGCGGCCGGGGAGGCGACATGAGTATCACACAAGAGAGTGTGGAGAAGATCCGGGCTTTTGACGAAAGGGGCCGCAGAATCGAGAAGCAATATGAGGAGGAGGTCCCTCTCAGCCCGGACGCCATCCACTCCTATAATCGAAAGCTCGACGAAACCATAAAAGGACTGCAGGGTCATGTAAGGCGGCAAGAAGATATCTTGCGCAAGGTGTGTGAGAAAAAACATACGGAGATGTACAGTACATGATACTGACTGAGTATTTAGCTTCGGGCTTCAAAGCAAGGTCTCGAGATCCCTAAACCCGGGTCAGAGTTGCAGGCCCGTCTGGCCCAAACCCGGCGGGCAAAGAAGGCGTACGACGCGCTGCTGCAATCGGAGCCTGACCTCCCCGCACCAGACTCTCCTCTACCGTTGTTGATTGCCCTTCGGGAGACCAAGCGAGTGATCGAGGAGAGCAAGGCGTCCATAGCGAGCCTACAGGAAAGCCTGACGATAAACCGCCAGCGCCTGAAGGCCGAAGAAGATGACCTGCGTGACGCGAAGTTGATTACGCAAGGTCTGGAAGACCGCATTCAGCGACTACAGGATGAACGCGCGCAGAAAGCAACGAAAGATCCTTCACAGCTCGCCACAGAGCTCATCGAAGCGGAGCGTAGAAAAAACGCTGAGCTTGATCGAGCCACGGCACAGCTGAAAAGGGCCCTTGATCGCTTCATAGACGAGCACCTGGCCTCGATGCTTGCGGCGGAAGATCTAGGCGGGCCTATTGTCGGAGACGCCATGGAAATTTCTGACGCTACGCTCGAGGCAGGCTACACGCACTACGGAAAGCCAAAGAAACCGAAATCCAGCACCCAGGAGGATGGCGATGATCCCACTCAACAACGAATCGATCAATTTATCCGGCGAGAGAGAGATGGAAACGCAGCAGCGCCGGCAAACAAAAGGGAAGCTGCCGCAGCGGAAATGCATGCCCTCCTGGATTCGTTACTAGAGTCTGGGTCCTCTTACATTGACCTGCCTCGAGAATCTGCCTCGTCCAGATTTCTGGTCAGGGCAAAGCTCGCCCAGCTCCATCCGCGTGATGCGCGACGGATCAGACTGATTGATTTTGGTCGAACGCTGGAAGACTAAAATAGGCCGCTGCCCTTTCACCATGCTCTAAGTGGTCAAGATGTACATATGTACATAGAGTACATTCATGATTGCTATATGCTATTCCTTTTTTTTTTCTAGTCTGGATAGGAGACTATGTTCTCTTCCTAATCGATCGAGTCTTCCTTGAGGGCAAACAGCTGACGGATCAGCTCGTCAGTCTTGGTGCGCAACGCATCATGATACATCGCGTTCGTGATGAACTGCTTGAGACCCTTGATCTTGGTGGCTGTGGCAGTCGCCAGATCGAAATGGACGTACATGTCGTCCACATACGTGGCCGAATATACGGGGACCTCGTTCCTTGCCAGCTGTTCTTCATCATACAGAGCAGGCCAATCGTCATAAGATGCGATGATGTCGGCCACTAACCTGAGCTGGCTGAGTTCGTGGTACGACTCGAACATATCCCTGAATATCTGAGGAGCCGAGTAAGTTGAGTTCCCGACTAATCAGGATCGATTCATGCTTACCATCTCGCCAGTGAAGTAAATCTGGGGCTCATTGCTGTCAATTTGGAAGCGCGAGTCAGTCGCACGCAGCCTGTCAGCAGCCCATAATGACGCTTGTCTAGAGAGAAAGTTAGCAATCCAGTGGAACCTCAACATATGAAAAAAAAATTCATGATTGGTCTTTTTCTTACCCCTGGCAATAGATCACTTCGTGCAGAATGGCGTAGATGACGTTATTGTCGAAACCTCCGTGGCTGTCGATGATAGACAAGGTTGGATGAGTCAGGAAGCCGAAGAGGTCAAGATCATTGGTAGCGCGGAGGACGATATCTGAATACTCAAAGTTTCAGTTCACGGTTCTGTGGAAGCATTCTTAGGGGGCAGGGCTATCTTTGTTCTTCTTTTACCGACCATGTACGCTGTCCAATCCACCTGTTGCTCAGTTAGATAATAGTAAGACTACGTGAGAATCTTTGCTAGGTGAGTGTGTTTTCGTACCATGAGCGCCGAACATGATGCCCAGCTGCTGGAAGCGCGCTGGCGTGAGGGTGCCCGATGGTAAAGCAACCTTGTTCTCACTCAGATATTTGTAGATCCTCTTGACTCTGTCCGCATCTTCGGGGTATTTCCTGTAATATGCCTCGTTCCGTTGCGCGACCTTTTCTGTATGGCGTATTAGCTAATTTCCGACAATTACAAAAATTTACCTGTCGATCCATACCGTAGGTCCGTTTATATACTGGTTCCGGCCCATTCACCAGTGGTGGAAGTCCACCGGTCGTAAACACTTCTCTCAATCCCTCGGGGCTGAAACAGGACGGTGTTGTCAGAGAATAACCATATAACATACAACATGTAAACACAGCAGGGCAATCAGCTTGGCTAGCTCGACTCACAATTTCGAAAGGTAGGTCACGGCGCAAAACCCGCCGAAACTCTGCCCGAGAACGCTCCATTTCTGGTTTTCCTCGGGATAGTCGGCCGTCAGGCACTTGCGGACGGCTTCACAGTCTCTGACGATGTTGTCCGCGCGGAAATGTTTGAGGTACTCTGCCTGTCTGGCAACGTTGCCTTGAAGAGCGAGTGTTTCGGCGGTGATGGTGGAGCTGAGACCTGTGCCGCGTTGGTCGAGGAAGAGAATCTGTTTTCAAGCAGCAATCTTGCAGTTACAAACCATCCAGGTCTTGTCAACAAGTGCAGAATTCTACTATCGCACTCAAGTCTTTTCCTCTGAGTCTGACTTACCTGATATCCCTTATCGAGCACCGTCCCAACCCAAGCATAGTCCTGTGGGGGAGAACATCCAAACCCAGGCCCGCCTTGCAAATACACGAGCCATGGAATATACCTCTCGTCTCTTTCCTGGTCGGGATACGTGACCAGACGACGGACGCTCCGCGCGAACAGGCGGATGGACCCATCGTTTGGCCTACTATAATTGAGAGGGACATCGAAGAAGAGTTCCGCGACACGGAATTTACCTGTTAAAAAAATTCCGTAGTCAGAGCGAGAGCAAAAGAGACTTGATAATTTTCAACTTATGGCAAGTTTTTTTTTTTCGCTTGGCTCATCGGTTGGTTTCATACAATGGACGCGGCGGGGACGTACCAGGAATGTTGTGAAAGAGCCTACTGATCAGCTTTGCGGTTGCCATCTTGATTGACTGACCCGCCGGAACTAGGACGTTGACACAGCTGATGGGTATTATAGTCAATTGAGGATATATCAGACACGGTTTCTATTTCGCAAATACTCTGGGGTAGATCTGTTCTCCTCCTGTCGATGGGATTGTCCAATAGATAGGGCGCGTCTTATCATTTGACAGCTTTAATAAAGTGGGGTGAGGAACCGTGGGAGGCACGGACACGTGCCGTCCGTTCCCGTCAACTGGCAACGGCCTGACTCATCCTTGGACAACAATAATGCACAAAAAAAAAAGTCATGCTTATTGCTCATTGCATTGGAATACTTATGATAGTGACGATCCCACCTCTGCTTTGTCGAAGGACTGGCTACACGTACCTAGCTCAACAAGGCATACGAAAAAGAGGAAGAACAATTGACTTCCAGCCCTACAGATGATGGATAACACCACCAGGGAATCAGCAGCTGAGTAATCAGTTATTATACGGAGTAGGGGCGAAAATAATAATTTTCTAGGCTACTAATACTATCAAACCAAGATATTTCAGAATCACCGGATTTTTTTCTCTTGAGCTTCTCAGTAAGATATATATTATATATTTTTGGTTACCCAATCCATGTATCCATCCAATACAAAGAACGCTCTAAAAGAGCAATTCGCAACCTACCATGAACTCTTGAAGGTAGTCCTTGAGCCCTGGAAATCCGGAGTTCTACCCAATCCCGAAGCATTGGCCAGAGCACGGCAATCTCTTAAGGATGTCCTCCCGTCGGAAGGCCTGGGCCTCGAACGCGTCAGAGACCACATCCTGCAGGACATCGTGCCAGGATTCAACGCAGCCAGCCTCAGTCCCAATTACTACGGCTTTGTGACAGGAGGAGTGACGCCAGCAGCTCTCTTTGCCGACAACGTGGTCTCAATCTACGACCAAAATGTTCAGGTCCATCTGTCGGACCATTCGATTGCCACGGACGTCGAGTTCAAGGCGTTGAGTCTCCTGACGGACTTGCTGGGGCTCGATCGACAAAGCTGGCAGAATGGCACGTTCACGACGGGAGCGACGGCCAGCAATATCATGGGCTTAGCTTGCGGACGAGAGTTTGTCCTGAGGGCAGCAGCAGCAGAGCGTGGAAGTCCAATCGACAGTGTCGGAGAGTACGGCTTTTTCGAAGTCATGCAGGCAGCAGGTCTGTCTGGCCTTCAGGTCCTCTCAACGATGCCTCACTCGTCGTTGGGCAAAGCAGCTGGAATCCTAGGGATTGGTCGTGCCAATCTCAAGGGCATCTGCACGTCTCAGAACCCACTGGAAATCGACATGCAGCGTCTGGAAGAGGAACTTGCAAGGCCTGATCGAGCAAGCATCGTCGTGATATCTTGTGGGGAGGTCAACACCGGTCATTTCGCCACAGCTGGCAGGGAGCAGATGCAAGAGCTCCGCAAGCTCTGTGACAAGTACGGTGCCTGGCTCCATGTCGACGGAGCATTCGGCATTTTCGGGCGCATTCTCAACGACTCGACCCCCGAATTCGCGTCCATTACCAGAGGATGTGCAGGTCTCGAAATGGCCGATTCAATCACGGGAGACGCGCACAAGTTCCTCAACGTCCCCTACGACTGCGGCTTCTTTCTCTGCCGCCATCCGTCGTCTAGTCTGGCTGAAGACGTGTTCCGTAACGCAAACGCTGCCTATCTCAGTGACAGTTCGGGGAGGACACCTGCAGACGAACCTACGATCCCGTCACCCCTGAACGTCGGAATCGAGAACTCGCGACGATTCAGGGCTTTGCCGGTCTACGCTTCCCTGCTCTCGTACGGCAAAGACGGATATCGGGACCTCCTCGAGCGACAGATTCGCCTCGCCAGGACGATTGCCGGGTGGTTGTTTGACCACCCAGCATACACAGCCCTCCCTGTGAGCCGAACGAAAGCAGACCTGGTGGCCAAGACGTATACGATCGTCCTCTTTCGCGCCAACGAAGAGGCGCTGAATCGCGATCTAACCAGGAGAATTAATGCGACGTCGAAGATGTTTGTGTCTGGTACGTCATGGGAGGGAAAGCCGGCATGTCGAATAGCCGTTTCGAATTGGAGGGTGGAGGAGCAGAGAGATATTGCGGTTGTGATGAGTGTCTTGGAGCGTGTTGTCCAGGAATCATCATCCGTGTGAAGGAGTGCTCGATCTTACGTATTAGAACTATACCTACTTGTGAAAATGTCGATTTATGTAGAGGATTTGCGTAGAGAAAAAAAAAAGCTGAAATATAAACACTTTTATAACTTCTTCTTGGGTATAATATCTGTCATGCACATAAAATAACGCTCGTAAATCTCATCTCCGACGACCCACACCACCAATCTGGTCGCCTCTCTCTGCAATATTGACGACCTCGCCAATGCCGGCTGCTTCCTGCTCGTCCTCCAGCGCCATGATCTCCTCCCGGCTATCCCACCACTTCTCCTCGGCGAGGTCGAACGCTTCCCTGCGGAGCTCCTTGACCGACTTCTCCACGGTCTGGCCTTGCTGCTTCATCTTCTCCAGCAGGATGTTCTGCCATTCCGTCGACGTGCGGGCGAAGAAGTCGCGGAGACTCTCGAACGGTCGCGGCTGGGGTCTTTCGTCCTTGACGGCCGGTTCCGTCGACTCCTGGTCCTCCACCTCGAGCTGTTCCATGTCGCGCGTTACCGACGGGACGGTGATGTCGGTGGGTGCGGGCGAGGCCCTCTCTTCCTCCGCGCCTTCGCCTTCCTCGTCTTCGCTCTCTTCGTCGTCTTCGTAGTCGTCTTCTTCGTCCTCGCTTTCTTCCTGCTCCTTGGCGTTCCAGTTGATCGGTTCGTTGTAGAAAATCTCCTTGACGCCGTCCAGCTTGACCAGGTCGATCGAGTACATGTCGTTAAACGTGAACTCCTGGTCACCTCGTTCGAAGGTTCCTCCGAAGATGAAGAGCGTGTCATCCTGGACCGCCAGCTGAGCGTTGAACCGCGGATGCGGCATCTCAAAACGGACCACCTCCTGCTTCGACGGCTCGGCCGGCTCCTCTTCTACTTTGGGAATGTCGAGCTCCAAGTCATCATCATCTTCCCGACGTATGCCTTTCTTTGCCTCCAGAGCTGCCAGGTTCCGCAGCAGTTCTTCTTCATCGGCCTTGGTTCTGTCCCTGGACTTAACGGCTTGATTTGCTTGCTGCTTTTTACTGGGACCCCTTGGGCGACGGAGATTGAGCTGGAAGAAGCGGTTCCTCTCCATATTCCATGCGAACAAGCCGTCGAAAAACTCGCTGTCCATCCCCTCCTCCGTCATCTCAACATCATGAACGCCACCAAACATGATGCCTCGGCCTTTGTGGTAGGCCATTGTGGCGCCAGCTCGTGGCGGGTTAGGCGGGTTGGCAGGCTTCTTTCGACGCTCCCATCGCACTGTCGGACCAGCCGATGCTGGAGCATCAGCCGCAGGGGGTGTGATACGGAGAAACCAGGTATCTTGATGAATCATCGGTTTGAGGGTCATTCGCTGTGGCCCTTTCACTTGCTTGCCGCCTGCAGCTGTCGACGCCTTCACACGGGAATATCCTCCATACAGGACAGCGCCCGATTCATGGGGCAGGAAAGAAAACGATGAGCGGGGATCTGGCTTCTGTGATGCCGGCGGCAGAGTTGGGTTAAACCACGTGTATTTCTGAGTGTCATAGATCCAGAGGTCCTGGAGGTATTTCGTCTGCTGGGAAGTATCCTGGAATCCGCCGAAAAGAATGATATAGTTCTGCGACGACGTTAGCACTGGTCAAGTCCAGACAAGTCAAGTCGCTGAATCGACGAGATCGGACCTTGAAATAGGTCATTCGATGGCCACTCCTGGCAGGAGGCTTTTGCCCTTGGGCTCTATTCGACTCCACTCTCTGGTGGCAGGATCGAGATACCAGAAATCATTGTAGTGGTAGAAGGTGCCTTGCTTGGGAGACGAGAATTCTCCTGTACGAAAGCCCGGTTAGCTGGCTCACGAACCGCCTTCCCTAAAGCCATTGGTACTGTACTTGCCTCCGAATAGATAGATTCCCCCCGTATTCCCACCTCGACACCACGCATGCCCGCTTCGTGGCAGCGGACTGTTCGGACTCGTCACCTCGCGCCACTCGCCCCGATCGATGAGATAGACGAACAGGTTATTGTAGAAGGTCGCGACGGTGCCGTCAAAGTACTCCCCGCCAAAGATCAGCAGCTCATTCCGGTTCGACGGGGAGGCAATGATGGTCGCAGACGAGCGAGGCGACGGCGGGCCCGACACGACCTCGGTCACCTTGAGGAACTTGGCCTGCTCCGCTGCGTAGGCGGCCAGGACGGCGTCCAGATCGACGTCTTCGGCGTCGCTGTCGACATCGCGGCCTTTGGTCTTGTTCTTCTTTTCTTTCTTCTCGGCCTTCTTGGACTGCTTGGCGGCAATGCGCGCCTTTCGCTCGGCCGACTTTTTATCCTTCTTGCCCATTGTGGGCGTATTACAGCTGCGTCTGGTTGTTTCTGCTCTTAAATCCTAGTCTAGAGCGGAGAAGCTCAATTTATCTCGTAACCACTATTCTGAATGCCTCGTGGGAAATTCTTTTCCACCGCTGCTATGCTCACTGCTTCTCCATCTTTTCTTCCCCGCGTCGCCTGCCGTATCGGGATCTGCTTAGATAATCATCACGTGACCGTCTCGCGGCGCTCAAAGACCGCCCGACAGCGCCTGCCTCGCCTCGCCAGCTTCTGCCATCTCGCTCATCGCCCTCCCTCGCCTTTGCTCGCCATCTCCTCCAGCTCTCATCACTCGCCTCTCTGCCTCATCTCCAGCATCCCGTCTCTCTGCCATCCAGCACTCCTCCAGCACTGCAGTCCTCCACAGCACACCAGAACCCCCCTCCAACCGACCTGCACCAACACCAGAATCCCCTTCCAGCCGACCTCCAGCACCAGCAAGTTTTCTTTGGGGACTCCTGGTGTATATAGTCGAGCCAGTTAAAGACAGGACAGGAATAAATCAAACAAAGATACATTCACTGCTTGCATTCCGATTTCTTCTGCGTAACTAGAGTGCAATTCGGGTTCTGGTCTACACTCTACAGCAGCAACTACAAAGAACATGTCGGCCTCGCCTTCCACGCTGCCGTCGACCAAGCGTCCTCTCGAGGACCCGTCCTCCCCGTCCGGTCCCAACGATCAGCCTGAAGCCAAGCGCCCGGCCTTGGACAAAGTAGTCAGAAACGATGACCACAGCAAGAGATCGGAGGAGGCTGCTGCTGGGGCAAAGGCCGACGGTGCTTCTGCACAGTCTACTAGTACCGCGACAAATGGCGCTCAGGATACACAAGGAGATACTGTAGTTACGGATGCTCCCAATGGCAAGGACGGGGCGGCAGCTTCGGTCGAGACTCAGCCCATCCAGTCCACCGCGTCCCATGCTGACCGTGCTACCTCACAGCCCCCGCAGCAGCAGGCTCACCAGGACGAGAGCTCGTGGATCCATATCCGTGCGGTGATTTCCAGCCAGGAAGCAGCCACTTGCATTGGCAAAGGTGGGGAAAATGTGTCCCAGATCCGCCGTCTCTCGGGTGCCAAATGCACTGTGAGCGACTACTCTCGCGGTGCTGTAGAGAGAATCTTGACCGTCAGCGGCCCCCAGGACGCTGTTGCCAAGGTGAGTATTTATCCTCCGCTGTCTGAAATCGGCGTCGATTCGATGACTGACCGGGTGCCAGGCCTTTGGTTTGATTATTCGTACTCTCAACAATGAGCCCCTTGACGCTCCATCCACAGCGCAGTCCAAGACATACCCTCTCCGTCTCCTGATCCCCCATATCCTCATCGGTTCGATCATTGGCAAGGGCGGTTCCCGCATTCGGGAGATCCAGGAAGCCTCTGGCGCGCGTTTGAATGCGTCGGACACGTGTCTTCCTTTGTCTACGGAGCGGTCCCTGGTCATCCTGGGCGTGGCCGATGCCGTCCACATTGCGACATACTACGTTGCCGCCACTCTCGTCGAGCAGCTGACCGAGCGATTTGGCGGGCCGGCTGCCTCTGCATACGCGACTCGAAGCGGCGGTCCTGCCAGTGTTGTGCCTGGTGGGATGCAGGTGGTACCTTATGTTCCCCAGCCGGCTGGAGGGCAGTACGGACACCCGGACACCTGGAAGCGACACCACGCCCAGCAGAACCGGGCCGTGCCGGGCCCGTATGGCGTCCCTTATCTTCACGGCCAGGCTGCCCCGGCGCCAGTTACGCAGCCACCGATTCACTATGCAGCCTCGCCTCGCGGCCCGTACGTGGGAGCTGGTCCTCATCAGCCTACGCCTTACGGCGCTCCTCAGCCCCAGCCTCATGCCGCTGCAGGCCAGCCGCTCCCTGGAGTGGTTCCTGGGCAGCCCATCACGCAGCAGATCTACATCCCCAATGACATGGTGGGCGCCATCATTGGTAAGGGTGGCGCCAAGATTAATGAGATTCGACACCTCAGTGGCAGTGTGATCAAGATCAACGAGCCTCAAGACAACAGCAATGAGCGTCTGGTGACCATCACGGGGACGCAGGAATGCAACCAGATGGCCCTTTACATGCTGTATTCGAGACTGGGTAATAAATAATTCCTTCGAACGCATCCCCACCTATTGTTGTGACGCTAATTTTTTACCCTAGAAAGCGAGAAGCACCGTATTTAGGACGTTTTCGGCCGGGGTGGTGCGCCTTTCTACATGGGATGATTTGGATTGCAAAAAGCACATTTTCCTGTTTTTGCATGTTATTTATCTTTTCCAGACTGTTTTACGGATTGTGTGCATTTTCTTTTGCTTCTCGCTTTCTGCTTTTTTTTTTCGGTAATATTTCCTTAGCTGTGTACTTTAATGGGGGGTCTTTGGTTTATATCATGATTCTTTCCGTCGTCCATTCTGATCACTGCCCAGAAACTGGTATGGATTCCAGCGTAGATATAGCACTGACACTTTTTTTGATCCGTCGACCAAACATTCCAATCTTCTCATGGATTATATGGCCACCGTTACCATGTCTTTTCTAACCACCACACCAAGCATAATCCAGTCCTACTCTACTCCAGTCGACTACTTGACCTTGCGGAAGCGAACATGTCGCATCTCCAACCCCTTCACAGGAGGCAGCGTCTTCTTCCTCAGCGGCTGGATGGTATCCGCAAACTCCTGCGTCTCCCGCGCAGCGAGGTGCTTCTCCTTACTCTCCCACCCAACAGCCAACAGATAGACTTGCGCCTTACCCGAGGGGCTCTGCGGATGATCGAAAGTAGCCGGGCGCTCGACATAGCCAGTCGACCAGGTCAAGGGGCGGATGTCCTTTTGGGACACTTTCTCCATCAGCGCGGAGCGGAACGCGACTATGTCCTCGTGCCATTTCGTCTGTTCGGCCGGGGTGAGGGTGCTCGGGACCGCGAGCGCGGCGAGCTCCGTGACGGGGTTGTCGGCCAGAGTGCCTGATGTCGTCATGGGCGGTGGGTTGAGGTTTGCGAATAAGGCGATGACTTGAGGCGAGGAGGGGTCGACGAATGGCTGTAGACAGTCGATGCTCACGCTGTGAGAGGAATCGGCCCATTCTGGCATCAAGCATCACGCATCATCGCGGAGGTTAATAAACAAGCTCAACAGCAGTAGCTTAACCAACATAGAAAGGAAAGGTGCCTACACACCAATCACCCAAACAACATCATTCTCATCCTCCTCCGTCCGCCCCCACGCAGACGCCATGTGTCCGCTCCGCTGCGTCGTCTCCTTTAGCAGCTTCAGGAACCGCTCGCCTTCGTTGCCGTCGGCGGCTTCTTCGGGCCTGACGGACGGTTTGAGTCGGAAGTAGAGGAACTCGATCGCGGTGGAGAGGATGGTGGAGGAGGACATGGCGGCCATTGTGGTGGAATAATGGACTGGGATGATAGATCTGTAGTAGGTAGGTAGGTGTAGCTATATCTATCTGTCTGTATATTTTTGTCTGTGTATGCAGGCTATGATGTATGTACCCCGCGTATGTAGTTGATAATAAGTGGGACGAACCGGGCCAGATGGGTCGATTTCCTTGTTTGGATTAGCCGGATTAGCTTAACAGAACTATATCAGTCAACTCCCTTGTCCCTGGACTGTTCTACTCTGTATACAAAAATGACATTGTAGTAATTGACATTGCTCAGATATAATGGAATGTGCGTGCGCATATCTCTGGTATTATTCTGACTATTAGCTGACGCAAGAATAATCAATCAACCTCGTGCAATTAATACAAACAAAAAATTTGAAAAAAAAAACTGAAATTCTAGATAATAATAATCGATAGCTATCTCCCAAACGACGACTCATGCAGTTTCTGTGTGGTTGCCACGGGTTAACCATACAGAGTATTTCTTTTTTTTCTTTTTTCTTTTTTCTTTTTTTTTTCTTGTGAGCATTGTCCTTTCCAACTTACATGCACACTTTGAGCTATTAATAATACTTACCTGTAGGATTATTTAAATTCCTGCTAAGTATTAATTAATCAGTGGATTGGTATTTGGCAAGATTATAAACTATAGCGTATTCAATTCAGTGCATCTTATTTTTATTTTTATTTTTTTTCTTGCTTGGCTTACTATGTATGTATGTACAGTAGAGTGCATAGGTAGGGGAAATCATGAAGCGGTCTCATCAAGTGTGTAGTACAAGGTGATGAAGTGACGATAGATAGATAATAGCCTGGCCTGGTATGATCTCGTATACAGCAGCAACTTGGATGTAATCCCAACAGACCTTACAGATGAAGTCATTCCAGCTGATTCTATCTTCTCTCTCTTAGATTCCTTAAGAGGATATGTACAAACTCGAATTTCAGGCCTGTCCATACACCACATCCCTCTCACGACTCTCCGGCCTCACCGTCAAGCTCGTCACCCCCTTCCCAGCACTGACCTCCGCCTCCACCGTCGTATTCATCGGCGCATACAGCTTGAACCTGGCCGACCAGTCCGCCGGCCACGCCCCCAGCAGCCGGATCTGCGTGTTGTTGCGCGCAAACGTCTGCAGCAGCATCTCCTGCAGCGCGATCGACGCCACGCCGTAGTGGTTGATGTCCGGCGCCCAGTCGAAGTTGGGCCCCTTGAAGACGGGGAACCGGTACACGGTTGAGTTGGCCCAGCGGGAGATGGTCATATTGGTCGCGTTTGGTGTCAGTCCCATTCGGGTTAGCCAGATGACGTCTTGTTTCCAGCCTGTATAGCTCGTGTTAGTAAACTGTTGTATTATTCTGAAATAAAAATAATGACGAGGAGGAGGATGTACTGACCAACGTTATCGTGAAAGCTCTGCGTCTCGGTATCATACAAATACGTATTGATGGCCAGCCTCAAGTCCGTAGGCTGCCCCAGCCCATACTCCCCCCACGGAAACACAGGATACAGCTGCGGGATCTCGACGTTCTGGATGCGGGCATACGCCAGCGCCGGACTGATGCACGGCTGGCCCTGCTGGTAGCGGATCGGCGTCTCGGGGACGCGCTTCAGGTACCCCTCGTAGTAGCTCGCGTTGGCGATCTGATAGTCCGGGCTCACCTGCAGCAGATCGTGGAGCAGCTTGCGCAGGCCGCTGACCGTCGACGCCGGATTGTACGCCGCCTTGTACGTCTCGCACCCGGAGCCCGGGTAGATGATCAGCGGGCCGTTCCCCGTGCTGGCGTTGTTGACGGGCGACGCGGCGCGACTGAAGGTGTCGATCGTGCTGTGGAACTGCTGGTAGAAGAGATCGAACCACTGCAGCTGGCTCTCGATAAAGTCGAGGTAGGGCGCCACGTCGAACCCCATGTACAGGTTGGCTTGCAGGATCATGTCGGCGAACTCGTTGGCCGTGTCCTGGATCCACTCGATGTAGTCGTTGAACTCGATGCCGCGGGGAAATCCCGGCGAGCGCGGCCGAGTCGGGTCGCCCATGTATTCGCGCAGGTTGGGCAGGCCGAAGCTGTCGATCTGCTCGCAGAAGAGCGTCGCGTTGATGCCAAAGTACGTCCGCCCACGCAGCTTGGCGGTGTCGACGATGCGGCGGTAGAACTCGAACTGCGGCCTCATGAGGTCGATATCGCCGCTCTTGAGCAGCGGCCAGTAGACGAGCCGCTGGTTCTGCGCCGTGAACACGCCGCCCGTCCACCGGCGGAAGTCGGGCGTGTACGGCGTCTCCGGGTTGACGAAGACGGGGTCGAAGGTGAAGAGGCCGCCGTTGAACCGCATGGGCCAGTCTGCCCCGGCATTGCAGCCCTGCATGTACCGGAAGATCTGGTAGTTTTTGCCCACAACAAATCCCGGATCGTCGGGCCCGGCGTCTTCGTTGATGAGGATGTACGACCGGTCCCAGAAGTCGTGCCACCAGGCGAGGGTTTGTTCCTGAGTGTTGTTGATCGCGGTGGCGATGAGCGAGTCGAACTGGGACTGGAAGTCCTGGAATGTCTCCGTCTGGTTCTGGTGGATCGCAATTGCAAGGGAGTATGAGGTCTGGGGTGTTTTCGAGCGAAGATTCCAGGATTTGTAGTCGGTGTTGACGTAGAAGCCGGAAGTAATGTTGCCGGGTTGAAGATCAGAACTGTACATCCAGAGAGCATACTACGGCTGTCAGGAGAAATCGTTCGTTCATTCATTCTTTCTTTTAAAAGAAACTTACTGTATTGTTCGCAATCGGGTTATACATCGTATCCTTGTACTGCTCCAGCCCCTGCTCGCGCACCGTATAATCGAAGACCGTCGACTGGAGATTTCGATGCGTCATCAACACACCACCATTATAAAAGGTGATATTGTCCGCTCTGGTGGTGGCATTCGCGCCAGGCAGCTGATCCCACGACGACTGGTCTGCTTTCTGTGAGCGTAGCTTCTACCAAAAAAAAAAAAACTCAACCAGGCAATTTGCCTACCTTGCTCGTATATAGTGCCATTATCCCCCATCAACCGATCGCGATACCGCCAGTTCTCGTACGACGCAGTCAGCGAGAGAGGAAGCGAGCTGTTGACCGTCGCATGGATGACGGGATGAAACGCATCGACCCATAGCGTGACGGTCGTGTTGTTCTGCCCCGTAAACGCCACGTATCCGTCATTCAGGACCAGCGTCTGCGAGAAGTCGCTGCCAAACGGATCTGGCTGCAGCGTCAGGCGCACGCGGCCCAGCTTGACGAGAGAGTTGTTGTCGTCGTACGCGCCGCTTTTGGCGATGTAGAACAGGATCGTCCCTGGCAGGTGGTTAGCAGATGTCGCCTCGGAGTGAAAGACGTGTGTAGTTAGATCTGTACGTATGTACCATTCTCAGCCCACACGTTCAACCCCAGCCCCCCTCCCCCCAAGGGCGTGGATTCAGACGAGTTCCTGCTCTGCGTGGTCCAGACGACATTGTACGAGTCTGGCAGCGTGATGGCGGCCGCAACGCCGATGAGCAGGAAAAACCAACGAAGCAGCATGTTGACCTGAAGTCAGTCTAACAAGCATCTCCAGTGTCTTGGAGTGTCCTGCATAGCAGGCTTGAAGAGGCCATATGAAATGTCATGTCTGCCATGACTTGAATCTGGCGGAGCATAGTATTGACACGGCAGACGTGCCGAGAAACCTTCCGAATTGACTGCAACGACACAAGCAACTAATTAGTATACAGCGGAGATTTTCCCAGCGCGGAGATATTTTTCCATTGTTTATGGCGACTAAACTGGAAAGTATAGGATTGACGATGTGACGTTCGTAAAATCCGGGGTCAAAATGCGGGGTCGGCGTTATCGGGCGAATATACCCCGAAGCGAACACCCCCAGAATTGCTGTTTTTGCACATCTCGTCCATGATCGTCCTCCAGCTCCAGCGGGGTTTTGTTTCAGATGGGAAGTTTCCTTCTACAGAAGAGAGCTAACAGTGAGCTAATCTGAGCTGGTATTGTTGATTAAATTAGCACCGTACCTGCTTCGAACGACAATGGATGCTCGAATTGAAACCTGCCAACAGCACACTCCAAAATGCAGGGCTTCCTGACCATCGGTCTCGTCGTGACCGCAGCAATTGTCCCTCCAGCAGGGGCGATCAGTGTCGAGCATGGCTCGCTGCGGACAGACGGCCTGGTCAGTCCGCTTGGGCTGGCGAACACGCTGCCTCGCCTCTCCTGGCGCCCCCAGTCCTCCACGCGCAACGACAACCAGACGGCCTACCAGGTGCAAGTCGCCTCGTCGCCGTCCGCAATCGAATCGCCTGATCTTTGGGACAGCGGCAAGGTGTCATCTGCAGACGTGTGGGCGCGGTACGCGGGACACAACCTGACGTCTCGCGACACCGGCTTCTGGCGCGTCCGCATCTGGGATGTCTGGGACAAGCCCTCTGCATGGAGCGAGGTCGACTCGTTCGAGCTGGGGCTGCTGGCGCCCTCCGACTGGAAAGCACACTGGATCACCAACCGCAACTACATCCCCCAAGGAGGCACGTCGCTGCCCGTGTTCGCCCGGACCTTCAATCTCTCCTTTCCGGCCGACAAGGCGCGTCTCTACCTGCTGGGCCTGGGCCAGCATGCTGCGTATCTGAACGGGCAGCCCGTGTCCGATGCCGTTCTCGCGCCCGGATACAGCCAGACGAACAGGTCCTTGCCCTACAGCACGTACGACGTCACCTCCTTGCTGCAGCACGGGGAGAACTTCCTCGGCGTGGAGCTGGGCAAAGGCGTCTACGATGCCGAGAAGCCTCTCGACAAGCGCTACGCCGACTTTTACACCACGGACAACCCGCTGACCCTGATCGCTCAGCTGGAGATCGCCTGCAGGGACGGGCCTGTGGTCACTGTCGTGTCCGACGAGTCGTGGAGGACCTCCGTGGACGGGCCACAGATCGAGTCTGCGTGGTACGGCGGCGAGGAATACGACGCCAGGAGAGAATTTCCGGGCTGGCCGACCACTGCGGTCGACACAGCTGCGTCCTCGTGGACAGACGCCAGCATCATTGACGGGCCTCCTGTCAACGGCTCGCTGACAGCGGACCCCGGTCCGCCATTGAGGATCGTCGACCGGTGGAAGGCCAAGTCGGTGACCAGGATCAACGACACGACATGGGTGTTCGACCTGGGCACCAACTTCGCCGGATGGTACAACCTGACGATGCGCGGCGAAGCCGGCCAGAGGGTGGTCTTCTGGCCCGGCGAGTATCTGACCAACGGCCTGGTCAACCAGTCCTCGACCGGACGGCCCATCTTCGACGGCTACACCTTTGCCGGACGATCGCCGGCCGAGTGGTACGCACCCCGATTCATGTACCACGGCTTCCGGTATCTGCAGGTCGACAATCTCACGCATCCGCCCGCGGCGTCGGATCTGGAAGCGCTGGTCATCCGGGCGGACAACGAGGCCGTGGGCTCGTTCCAGTCGTCGTCGCAGCTTTTCAACGCGATCCACGGCATCATCGACCGCGCCATCCAGAGCAACATGTACTCGGTACTGACCGACTGTCCGCATCGCGAAAAGTCGGGTTGGCTGGAGCAGGACCATCTCGTGTATGAGCCGCTAGCCCGTGGGTTCGATATCCAGGCGTATGCACGCCGGATGCTCGACATCGTCGCCGCCTCGCAGCTCGCGGACGGCATGATCCCGACGACGGCGCCCGAGTTCAAGGTCTTCCTCGGCAGTCTGAGCGTCTACCGCGACGAGCCCAACTGGGGGGACACGATGATCCTGATGCCGCTGCAGCTGTACCGGACGTACGGCGAGGTCGAGCTGTTGGAGAAGTACTACGACGTGATGGTCGCGTATCTCGACTATCTGGGCTCGAAGAGCAATGGGACGTACACGCTGGACTACGGACTGGGCGACTGGATCACCTTCGACACGAGCACTCCGCTGGGCATCACCGCGACGATGGGCTACCAGCAGTCTGCGGCCGCGATGGCGACCATTGCCACAGTGCTAGGGAAGACGGACGACGCGGCCAGATTTTCCGCCTTGAATCAGAACATCCTGCGGGCCTTCCACGAGAAGTTCTTCGACACGACGAGCAATTCCTCGTATGGCTCCGGCTCGCAAGCCAGCAACGCCATCGCGCTGGACATCGGAGCCGTCCCGGCCGAATACGAGTCTGCGGTCCTCAACATGCTCGTCCAGTCTCTGGTCGACAACGGATACCATTTCACAGTCGGCGAGATCGCGCTGCCATCGCTCTTCCGCGCGTTACAAGCCGGCGGGAGAGACGACGTTCTGTTCCAGACAATGAGCCAGACTACAAACGTCAGCTACGGGTTCCAAGTCACCCACGGCGCGACCTCGCTGTGGGAGGACTGGGACGGCGTGTTCCGGACGACGGGGAGCCTGAACCACTGGATGCTGGGGTACGGCGACGCGTGGCTGCTGCGGCTGGCGGGGATGCAGCAGGCGGAGGGCTCGACAGTGTGGTCGCAGATCGACTTCCGACCGAGGGTCCTGGGGGACCTGACGAGTGCAAGCGCAAAGTACCGCACCGTCCGCGGCTGGGCGAGCGCCGAGTGGACGCTGCATGGCAACAACAGGACTCTGGAGTATCGCGTCAAGGTGCCGGTGGGGAGTACGGCGAGGGTCTTCCTGGACGGTGACAGTAGAAGCATCACCGAAGGCTCAGCGGGGTTGCAGGGAAGAAGGGATATTCTAGGGTTGCAGCAGGAAAACGGCACGACTGTCGTGACGATCGGGTCGGGGTCGTACAGCTTTGTGGTTAGGGATTACAGCAGATGATCTTAGCTAGAGTATGTCGTTAGATGCAAGCTAACCCTAAACTGAGAAGAAACAGAAGAAGAAGAAGAAGAAGGGGAAGAAAAAGGGGAGTGAATAATAATTTGATTTAGGTAGAATCCTATATTTTTTAGCGTAAATTATCTACCTCAAGTATATGGTAATATACCATATATGTAGTGTACTGTATGTACAGTACAGTACCTACGTCTTGACACAGTACGTACTCCGTATATACTCCCCAAGTATATACAGCATACTAGGAGAACCCTCAATAAGCATCCCTCCTCTCCTCCCACTCCGGCATCGGACTCAACGCAACAGGTCGTCCATAACCGGACAGTACAGCCTGAGTATGGCCCGTCAGCGCAAGTCGCAACCCAGCGAGTCTCGCCCCCTCTTTATCGAGCGCCCAGAGGGAGAGCGCAATGTAGTTGATGCCGTGGTAGTTCAGGATTCCTTCTGGGACGGGGAAGGTAGTTTGGGGGCCGATGTTGTTTACTATAAACAAATAAGAAAGTAAGTATGTATGTGTGTGTGTGAACGGGGATAGATGGATGGATGGGATGGGGGGGTTTTTTTTACCGTATTTCCCAAATTGATATCCGTTCACGTATAGCTGGACTCGATAGTTTTGGTTTTGGTTCTGGTTCTGCTTCTTCTGCGCAGTCGTCAAAGTCGAGGAAGAATTGGTAAAGATGAATGCGAGTGGAATGTCGTATCCTTCTGGCATGTCGAGGGTAAAAGACGCACTAAGTATCAATTAAATAATGTCAATATCAACATGCATATGAGGTAAGCAAAGGTAAATGCTCACGTATAGAACGCCACACCCGCCCTCTGAATCCCCACGAGGGGATTCCCTGACGCAAACTTCTCTGCCGGCGGCTTTGGTAAATGCCACCCCTGCCGCTCAGCGTACAGGCCTCCCTCGTTCAGCGGCCCCCGGGTGCGGTCGACATAGTCCTCGCCGCCGAGATTGCCGGTCACCTTCCATGTGATGTCGCTTGCGTTGTGGCCGGTAAGCGAGTAGTCGAGAATGCCGCGGGGGTTTTTCATCTGTCGTTCGTCAGGACCAAGGATATGACCTTCTCTGAACTTGTTGAACCTACGTTGTCCGCTCCAATAACACCGTTCTCGTCATAGCCCATGTCGTCGATCACCACTGTGAAAACATGTCTTGTCCCGGGGGTAAGGTTTGGTAACTGCAGACACTGCGTGTAGTTCGACGTCACGCTGTTCCCTGGCCACGAGCCCAGGAATGTATCGTCTACCCACACAGATGCCCCGTAGGCGGTGCCGCCCTGCGTGTGGACAGAAAACGTCGTCTCGTTCCCGTTCGCGGTGAACCAGCCTCGGAAAAGCAGGCTTCCCGTATGGTAGCCGTAGTCGCTTGCGTACAGGCTCGTTGGCGTCGTCAGATTCCATCCAGTTGTGTTGTTCGTGTAGGTATTGCTCGCCGGCGTCCAGCGGGAGTCGTTGTATGTTGGCTGGATTTCGGGGAGACTGTCGACGACTTTCCAGTCTAGAGAGGCCAGGTCCGGGAGATGCAGCGCTGGAGGTTTGTATTCCACCTCTGCGGTGAGGATGCCCGTTGATGGTTGCCGTTGAACAGGAAGGCGACGGCCATTGAACGAGACGGAGCTGACGTTCGTCGGGGCACTGATCACTTCGACTGTCGTCGTGCGGTTGATGTCGCCCGTAAGCTGCAGGTTTCCGCCCTGGATTTGTGCCGTCCGTAGGAGGTAACCTGCTTTGACGATGACGGATTCAGCGGTGCTGTAGTTGTTTGACCCAGAGAGGTCGAGGACCCAGTAGTCGTACGCAGAATTGCGATCTGAGATGTCAGCTGCGATCACCATGCATGAGGCTGAAGATACTGACCAAGCAGGTAGATGTAGAGCGTATCGAGTTGGATGATGGTTCGCGTGCTGCTGGTTCGCCAGTTGATAGTTGCGATATTCCCACTTGTTTTGACTGCTGCTGCACCTTCCAGGATTGTCGGCTTCGACGTGCTTTTGAAAGCAGCCTCGTGCGTCTCGCCCGGTCCGCCATACAGGATGAGCACTGTCCTCGATCCATGATCCTTCCTGCTTGCTGTCAGAACGGTTAGGACCGAGTCGAGAGAGCAGAAAGCACGCACCATGTAAATATTTCTGCACTGGAGTACAGTAACCAGAAAGACCCAACCATGTAGTCTGTGACCAGGATCTAGATTCGTCAGTCAGTGACATTTTTCGACTAGTTTTTCATTTTACCTTCGAATCTCGCCCGTTCAGCAGCAGGGATCCGTTCTGAGGAATGGTCGTCATGCCAACACTCGTTGGCAGCTGCAGGGTATACTCTGTCGCAGCAACGCTTGTATGATCCGAGTGACGAACCACCCAGAAGGCCGTCGTGTTGGCGCTGAGCCTCGTCACCGAGATGGCCGGCGTGCTGGTGTAGCTGGTATTGGTGACATTGTGCACGTCCGCAACGAGGTAGGCGGGCGACACCTTCAAGAAGTTGGCCTCGAGCTTCAACTCGCTGTATTTCTCTCGCGTGAGGGTCCGGTCTTCTGTGATTGCGCTGCCATAGTCGTAGGACGTGTAGCCCCCGGGGTGGCCCAGGTTTCCCCAGTTGGTTCCGCCGTAGATCTAAAATAAAACAATTAGCAGGGAGTGATTATATCCAAAAGGTTGGCTTACCATGTAGAGATTAAATATCTTCACGCCAAAGCTAAAGTCGTTCTTGTTGTATACCCGTTCGAATTCGTTGTTGAGCAGAGTGGCGCAGTTGTCGACACCGTAACCGCCCCATGGATCGAAGGATCCTCCTTGGAACTGTCGTGTTCAGCATGCTGGCATATAAAACAAAAGAAAAAGCAACTTCTATACACTGCATACCTCACTAATGCTGTACGGCGTCGTAGGACTCTGCTCCTCGTGGACAGTGTAAAAGTTTGTCGGGAAATAATCGCCCGTCCAGTTGTACGGCTGCGAGCAGTCGAAGCCCAGAGGGTAGCTGTCATGGCTGTAAATATCGACCTGGCCGACGCCCGTCCCTGGCGCAAAATTGCCGTAGTTGAGCCCATCGTTGTTGATCAGGGGGACGACAATGCCTGCTTGGCGGTAGTAGTCCTCGACCTCTTGCATGTATAACGGATCGAGCGACGTTCCATCCTCAGGATGGCTGTATTCGCTGCTCAAGCGGTGAGTTTCTAGTCCAGTGCAACAGATCGGAAGACTTGCTTTTCCGGTTGAACTAGGATGACGGGTCCGCCGTTTGTGATCTGCGCCTCTGCGATGATGGGTCCGATCTTGCTGATATAGCTGTGCAGTGTCAGCCGCGTCAGTGATTCTCAGCCTGGAAGTTACATACCCAGCCTGTGCATTCATGAACTCGGGGTCTCGTGTCCGGAGATGGCCTTTGATTCTCTGGAGCCAGCCGGGTAAGCCTATCGAGTCAATCTCTGATGGAAATAGTGCACAGTCCTACTCCGTATACTCACCTCCACCGGACGACTCAGCATTAATATACGGTCCCGGTCGCTAGAATGTCAGCCGACTGCCGTGCGAACGGATCAGACTATAACTTACAGCAATGAGGTATATTCCCGCCGTCTTGGCCGCATCGAAGAACGGCTGCAGGTCAAAAACCCCCTCTGCAGAAAAGTTGCCTTGCTTTCCCTCGACCAGCGCCCAGTCGACGTAGAAAGAGATCGTGTTGAAGCCGAGGGCCTTGACTTTCTGGAAGATGTCCAGCCAGAGCGATGGGACGGGGAGTCTGACATTATCCGGTTAATAGGGTTTGATCAAGCAGGATGGAATGGAATGAAATTAAATAGCAATGACATACCTGAAAGGATGAAACTCCCCGCTGAAGATCATCAGTCGTCCGCCATTGATCAGGAGCGAGTTCGCGTCCCACGTGACCTGTCACGGCCATAAGTACTCCGTATATAAAATTACATGTGTAATGCTTTACGCTTGGGGTGCCGAACAATATCTTGCAGAAGATGCTGCCGCTTGTCTGCCAGTCGCAAGCGACCCGGCAAGGCAAACGCCAGACCCAGGCACGAAAGCCACGCACAGGCGAATAATCCGAGCAGCATGGTTGCCGTCGTATATACTCTCCAGCACCGTCAGTCAATACATATATGCAGACATATTCACCTCCTCTCTCTATATATACCAGTGTACACTACTCCGGTTCTGCATGCCTGGTCGACGTCACTGGTGGAAATTGTTGACCCCGGAACAGCCCACTTCGGGAAATTGCCTGTTTTGGGTACTTTTACCCCGGACTAAGTTACCCCGGATTCTTCCAGAAAGGGCAACTTTGGTGGCTGCAACGCTGCATTCTTTTGGACTAACAGTGATTGTCATCCTCGTCAAGACAGCTCGTGTCAAGTGAGTAAGTACTGCCCATGCCTAATTTTCGGGATTATTGAATGGGTTCATATGATGCGCTTCGGAATATCGAGTCCGAGGAGATATAAACTGAGGTATGTACTGTACTGTACATACATACATTTTGCTTGACACAGCACTGAAAGATACCCCAACGTAGGGCTTGTTTCAAAAAAAAATAATCCTTATTTATTACGAACTGATTAATAGACCAACCCTCCAGCATGTGGAACCTCCTATTCACTCCTATTCTACTATTAAGCTCCATCAACCTCGCCTCCTCAACCAAGGTGACCCTCCCGAATTGGAATTTCAAGTACGATTCTCAGGGGAACGTGTTGGATGCTCATGGTAATTCCCATATATTTTATCTCACAAGATATAATTACGTGTATAACTGACAGTTTCGGCAGATGGCAAGTTGTACTACTTTGAGGGTGGGGAATATATTACGCTGTTGTGATTCATCATCAACTATCATTATTATGCTAATATGCAATTAATTACAGGAAAATACTATTTCTACGGCACAGCATACAACTGCGGTTTCCGATGGAGGACCGGTAAGCAAGCAAACCACCATCCATCCCGATTACCAAGTCCATTCTGACAGATAGAGGCATCCAGCAAACTACACCTCCCCCTTTTGCGGCTTCAAAGCCTACTCCTCGACCGACCTCAATACCTGGTCCGACGAGGGCTACCTCTTCGATGCCTCGACGCACGAGTGGCAGAGCCGCTGCGCCGTCGACGGCGCCTGTTCCGGCCCAAAGTCCTGCAGAACCCGCGCACGAAAGAGTACGTCCTGTGGATCAACACCGGTGCGTCCAGGTACGGCTATGCGGTGTTCACGTCGGACAAGCCTGCTGGCCCCTTTGTCGAAAGAATAGTCCCGTCATGGCGAGGGAGAGGGGAGGGGGCGATTTTGGGAATGGCGATTTTGGGATTGTCATTGGGCCGGATGGGAAGGTTAGCTACGGATTTATGAGTTCGAGTGATTGCGATTGTACTTCGTCTGACTGCTGTTGACTGTTGTTTCCAGGGATATATCGCCTACGACAACGCCCCTGCTATCCCCAAGCACAGCATCTTCCAGAACCCCAACCTGACGTACGGCATCGTGCAGGAGCTGAGTGAAGACTACACCGACGTGACGGACAACTACGTGATTACGGACTTGGCGAACATCGAGGCGTGGGACATGATCTATCGGGATGGATGGTGGTATCTTATCGTAAGTACCCATCTAGAAGTAGAAAACAAAAAAAAAAAGAATCAGCGAATTGATAATTATATCTGCCAGTTCGGCCACATCTGCGGCTACTGCACCGGAACAGACACCTCGTACATCAAGAGCAGAGACCCCATGGGCCTATGGCTGGCCAAGGACCGGGTGTACTTCACCAACACCTCCTGTGGCGGACAGCACAACATGGTCGCCCAGCTGCCCTCCGGCAACAGCAACAGCAGCGATCCCTACGTCTGGCTGTACGGCTCTGACATCTGGACGGCCGACGTCAACGAAGGCAAGGCCGGCAGCCACTGGGAGCCGCTGACCTTTCTACCGGACGGGAGTATCAGTCCGCTGGACTGCACCGCGCCCGAGTATGTGATCGATGTCCCAGTGACAGAGTCCCAGGTGATCGATGTCGTGGCCAATGCGACCGTGTCCAGCGCGCCGGGGAATTACACCTGGGAATGCGGGTTTGGCATTCACGACCGCAGCATCCTCTATCAGTTCTTCCAGGCGCCCAAGTCGGGCAACGTTACGGAGATTGGTGTCAATATTGCGCAGCAGAGGTACGCACTACTCCACCCTGCAGTATAGTTCGTCTAGAGAATGCAGACTAATCGGTCGTGTTTTAGTAACAACGCCCCAGTCACCATCTCCCTCGTCCACGTCTACAACATCAGCGAACTGTTCTCTCCAACAGGAGGAGTGGAACCCCTATGGAGCAAGACCTATCCCGTCGACACAATCGGCTGGTCCTTTCCCATGGTAAAAGGGGCGCCCAACGTCGCTGTTGAAGAGGCATGTACATTACACACATACCTACCTGCATCCACTTCATCCTATATACTAACTGCTTCTTCAGGGCGAATGGTACGCCCTCGAACTCGCCGCCACCGCCGTCTCAATTCCGTACTGCTACCTCCAGCGAGAGACGGACTACGACACGAGCAACATCTTCGTGCCCCCGAAGAGCTTCTTGGCCGAGATTCGCCTGGGCAAGTATCCGCTTTATCCTCTGATGGATAAGGAGTTGAGGTATTATGTTCAGATTGCGGATTAACCTGTAAAACAATTAATAAGAGGCGTACATACATGGCAAGAATATGTAGGTAGCCTTGACATAGCAAGGTAGTACATAATTATTTTTTTTCCATAAGGGCTATATTTATAATCCCGCTATCTGTCTAGCTGTCATCATATAATCAGGACATTGTATTTGACGCGTATTTACTCTGCCAGATCGGGTGTTTATCGATTCTATGTGCTGCACTAATTCCTCCGCATCTGCTCCATCTTCTCCACCTCCTCGTCAATCTTCTTGAACGCCCACCCCTGGTACGACGGCGGATACAGAAACGGCCGCATATCAAACCGATTGTCATCCGGGCTGTAGTCGTTGCAATGCAGCGACGGCGTAAGCGTCGTCATCTTGTGCCGGTTGATCGAGTAGTAGTGGAAGAACCGCTTCACCTTGTCCGCGATCTGTCGGGGCTCGAGGGCCGGCCCGTCCTCTCGATCACGCCCCCATTCGTGCACCAGTCGCTGGAACATGCCGTACGGACCCAGCTTGTGCACTTTGCGCAGCCGGCCAAACACCGTCAGCTCGTCATAGGTCATCCCCATGTCGGCCTCGTCCGACTGGACGTATGTCTCCGTGATCGGCTCCAGCTCTGCCGTGGGCACCGCCGTGAGGAAGTCATGGAGGCAGGGAAGCTCGAATTCTTTCTCGGCCCAAGCGATGAGACGTTTGAGATCCTATCCAGTCAGCATATATATGTCGAATCTGGACCACTTCAACCAAACTTACGCTCTTGTCGATACTGCCGATGGGGTTGATATCAGCGCTCGAGCAGTCGTATTTGGTCAAGTATCCTCGCAAAGATTCTGAATTTGTTAGCACGCCAGGCCACGAGCTAAGGGCTGATTGATCTCACCTCCCACATTCGCGGAACCAAGCACCAGAAGACCACCGCCACCTGGACGCCCGCGGACAGTTGGCAGAATCTGAGCGAATTCATATGCAGTCACCATCCGGGACCGCGCCTGGATGTTCTGGAGAGTCAGGTTCTCGGCAACCGAGCCTCCCTCGACCTTGAATTTCGGTTCGAAACCCAAGGAATTGACGATGAGGTTGCGCTGCGCCTCGTAGACATGGTCAATGTCCAGATTGACGTGATACGCGCCAATCGCGTCGGCGAGATCTCTCGCACGCTGCCGAGTCTCTTTGGAACTCTGCTTGGACATTCCCATGTAGACGGTGTGGAAAATCTGATTGCACAGCTCTTGCGGCGTCTCCGGTAACTTCTCCGAGTACTTGGCCAAGCGCTTGACATCCGCGATGACTTGCTTGTTGCCGGCTTTGATGTTTTCGACCACGAGCCGACACATCGAGAAGACGAGAACCGCAGTCGCACAGCTGACCGAACTTTAGCACAACGAGAAGGATGGCATTTAGGAGACTCAATTAGTTGCAACCTACCTGTCGATACCTCCCGACAGTGGGACCAGGTAGCCCGCCGCGCCGCAGCGTCTCAAATACTGTGCTTGTTAGCGGTGATGGCGACATTTGCCTCTGCCTTAACTTACATCCCAGAGATAGCAGCTCGCGCAGAGCGCAATTTCTTCTTCTGGCGAGTAGATCTTTGGTTGCATCGGCGGGCTCGGACCATGGCGAAGATCGAGATCACCCGCCTCGGAGCTCAGTTCGAAACTCGTCTCGATCCGGTGGTACTTTGCATCGGACTTGGCGGCTTGAAGAGACCGGGAAATGGCAGATCGGTAGGCGCGCACCTCCTCGAGATCGATGGTGGCGACCTCGACCTCGACGTCGTTAAGACTAAACTGCTTGCTCTGAGCAACAACCTCTCCTGGAGAGAGGATTAGCGATGAACAGAGGTGTCTTTAACCGAGATTCCTACCATTGAGGAGAATCATGGCTGAGGCGTCGAAATAGAGGCGATCACCACCGCAGCCTTGCTGACTATGGGTGATTCTTAGCATGAGATTCGACAGGGTAGTTGACACAACTCACTTTGCGTAGATGTAAACGCCTCCATTCTTGCGCGTGGCCTCCTGGATTAATTCCAAACGAAGGCCAAGCTTTCGCAGCGTGAAGTGAGAGCCGGAGCTGTTGGTGAAGATCTACAAACGTCAGCAGACTCAGCCAGCTGACGGCTATGAATTTTGTTTCGACCCACCTCGACACCATCCAGAGCCATATGGGTATGAGGCGCATCCGGAGTGAAAAGCTCTTCCTATAAAGGCGTCAGACCAGTGAATAACTGACTTAGACATGGTTCTAGGCTTACGCAGGATTCAACCCCGATGCAGGTATCGGGAGTGGAGATCACCGCATCACCAAAGATGACATGGGTTGCACCCTGGAGCTTCTGGATCCTCCGAGGAAGATGATACTCTTCGTACTGCCTTGGCTTCATCCATGGGGTAAAGTCTGCAGGGCATGGAGAATTAGCCCCTTGCCAGGACAAAAAGAGCATGGTTTCCGCACCAGGGCCTTACGTACGCCGCATTTCAAAGTAATTGGAGTCGTTGGCCAGCCACATCTTGGGCCTAAAATCCAGTGAGCAGATCATCTTCAGAATACTGTCCCAACGTTCTATATGCTTACCTGATCAAGAGGATCTTGCCGTTGAGACAAATAACCCGGCAGTTGTAGCCTATGGGAGGGACCATTAGCATACTCCATGCACTTCTAGCTTCGGCTGCTAATACGATTCCAGCCGGATTAAGATGCTACATTGGATCTAGGATGGACTTACGCACGCCGCGGTGCTGCACCGGCATTCCAACATCAATCAGAATATCATAGAGACTCTCGTCTTTCAGGATTCGTTCCAGCATCTCCCAGCAATGCAGGTAGAGATCCTAACACGCTTAGCTTGCGACCAGCCATCCGAGTCAGAAGAAGCGAGCGTACCTGCTCCAGGAAGTGGTCATAGCATTCATAGCCGCACACCTCGAGCTCGCTGCCGACGCGGACTCGGGCGCCCTTCTGCTTGGCGAGCTTGATGCTCTCGATGATGCGGGCGGTGTTCTGCTCATAGTCCAGCGCCCATTGCTTGAGGGCGCAGGTGGCCACTGTGACGAGATGCCCCATGATGAATCACGCAAGGCAGACACCAGTACAAGAACTATTTATGATACGAGTAAGCAAAGAAGAGAGAGCTGGATGGCTTCTTTTGAGTTGCGGCGCAGAGACCGAACCGCTGGAACGGGAACGCTTCTGGAACGGCACGGGACCGCCCGGTCACATGACCTGGGCTCCGCTGCGGCAGGCGCGATGGACGATCGTGACAGGTGGAAAGCGCCTGCCGCAAAAGGAAGGTCCTGCCCCGCGATCGAGACTCCCGATCAGGCAGGCACGCTCGAGGCAGGAGGGCCAGGAATACGCATCGGCTTCTTTCTTGTTCGGGAATGCCAGCAGTTGCGCATACTCTGTGATCAGCCCGTCTGCCTTGGACATTAATATTGCCTACTCTACTGTCGATTCATCTTCATCTGGCCTTGCTAGAGCCCGCTGCTTCTTATCAGTCTTATCGCTCGATCTGGCGAATTAAAGCACGCGCTGGCACGCCGCGATTCCCCGCCAAGAACGGCGATCCTGCTTCTCCACCGTCTCCATACGCGCGTAAGGCCCCTCCTGCTGGCTTCATTTACTATCGCTGTCATCCTGCGCTCGCAACGAATGAGCACTTCACATCCAACGCCTTCCAGACTCCCCAGCCATGACGCCGCTGGCTCATCCGAGACCGCTCCGGCAAAAACGAACGCGTCGACGCGCATCCGCAGGCGCAATCGCATGATCACCTCGTGTCTTGAATGCCGTCGACGCAAGCTGAAATGCGACCGCACGCATCCATGCTCCAATTGCTCCAAGGCCACCCGCGACTGCGTCTTCCTGGCGCCCTCGCTCGACTCGGCCGCGCGCTTGAAGCTGACCGAGCTCAAGGAGCGCATGGGCTCGCTGGAGCGCTCTCTCGAGGAGGAGGTCGCAGGCCGCCGTAGCCAGAAAGCTTCAGGCGCAAAAGAAGAACCATCGTCCGATGCGTCCTTTGCCACGGCTGAGCCGCTGTCCAGTCAGTCCATTCCGGACGATGAAAAGAACCTGGAGCCGACACTCATGGCCACACAAGATGCCGTCTACGAGGACGAAGCCGACGATGACGTGGTCGACCTGGGTTTCCAGCTTGGCAAGATGAGGCTGACCGACCGCTTAGGAGGGTTTTTCCGTCCACGACTTGCCGACGAGGTATTCTCTCTCTTTACATGGTCTCCTACGGAGTGCTGGCTGACTTGTTTCCAGTTAGCAACCTCTCTCGACGGTGACAATGCCGACAAGAATCCCAGCAATGCTCCGGACAGCTCGTCGGGAACGTCAGCCTCGTTCTTAAATCCGGGCCCAACCTTCATTGCGCCCCGTTCGGACATGCTATTCGGGTTGTCCAACCATGACCATGCCTTGCTGGATTTTCTCCCTACCAAAGCAGCGGCCGACAAGCTAATGCAGCATTACTGGGAGGCCGTCCATCCAGTGGCCCGGATCGTTCACCGGCCAAGTTTTGAAAAGCGGTACGAACAATTCTGGGAGGATGTCACGCACGGAATCGAACCGAAGCCGTCCATCCAGGCAGTCGTGTTTGCGGCCCTCTTTACCGCGGTGGTCAGTATGCCGCAACAGACGGTGCTCGATGATTTTGGCGTGTCCCAGCAGGAGCTCGTCGAAAATTTCAGATTAGGGACCGAGACCGCCTTGGGGAAGGCGCACATCTTGCGCACGACCAAGATAGAGACGTTGCAGGCATTTGTCATGTATCTGGTATGTCATTTCTCCCTCCGTGGGAATACTTCCTAACCACAGGAGATTCCGATGTGCCGCGATGCCATATCACGAGCCCATTCCGCCATGGTCGGGGCCGCAATCCGGCTGGCCGAATGTATGGGCCTTCACCGCGATCCGACCGAGTATAACCACCCGCCCGTCGAGACGCATGTCCGGCGTCTGATCTGGTATCAACTCTGTTTTTTAGACATCCGGACCGCCGAAGTCCAGGGCCCGCGGCCCTTCATCCGCCGCGAAGACTACACAACCCAATTTCCGCTCAACCTGGACGATGCAGCCTTGGCCACGGGGAAGTCGGACGACGCGCAAGAGTGGACGGACATGACTTTCGCTCGCATTCGCTTTGAGTGTCAGGAGATGATTCGCGCCGTTTACATTGACCAAATCCGGTTGGAGAAAAAAACTATCAGCGTTACACAGGCCCTGGGGAAAATCGAATCCTTCCGCAAGAGCATGGATGCCAAGTATGGTCCTTTGTTGAACGGGCCTCAACAGACCCCGATCCAGCGCGCCGCGGCGGTGATGATGTCGCTGATTATCAATCGACTGTATATCTTGCTCTTGCATCGGTATCACACCAACGTCATGGTGAAGATCCCCGACCGGCTCCGCCAGGTGATCCTGAGCACGGGCACCCAGCACCTGGAAGATGCGATTGAATTGGAAACCTCCCCGGATCTGCAGCGGTGGAATTGGTACAGCCGGGCGTACCACAACTATCACACTGCCCTGCTTCTCTTGATGGATGTGTATTATCATCCGATGCGGCGCGAGGCGGATCGGATCTGGCGTTGTCTGGACTACGTATATGAAACGCCGCCGGCCCCTCTGCAGCCGGGCATGACTCGACGAGAGATGGTCGAACACCGGGAGCGGAAAGCCCGCATGATCTTGACGCAGCTTCGCGACCGGATGAGTGTGTACCGGGCGATGCGAAAGATGAAGTATCCGCCAGCCATGGCAGATTCACATATTTCTCTTGTCACAGCAGCCAGCCGGGACCAGTTAGGTCCGCAAGCCGAATCCAATTCGGAAGAGTCGACCCAGGATGATGCCGATCGCGCATTATCCACAGATGCTGCCTCTCATGCAGATGTGAAGACTGACACGGTGCCCACGCCGTCCGCCGTGTTTTCGACTTTCTTGCCCGGTCCTGACGTCCAAGCGCGTGTTCGTCAGAACAGGCGGACCAACCAACTACCTGATGCGATAGCATATCAACCTTTCAACGCACCTGTGGATTATCATTCTGCACAACCACCACAGCCGTCGCCATCGCAGCCTTTGCCCTCACAGGCCAGCTTGAACAGGGACGTTCGAGGTCCCGGCATGGAATCGGAAGGCCCTGGCAGCAGCGATTTAGGCGGCCACGGACTTTGGTTTCTGCCGGGGGCTGAAGCGCCAGCCGGAACGGTGACTCGAGCGGTCACATCGGAGGATCTCCCGATGCTGGACATCAACTGGGTATGTCGTTCCCTCTTTTTTTTTTCGCGTAGGTACATAACTTCCTGACCGAACCAGGCCGAATGGGACCAGTTGTTCCCACCTCACATTAACGACGGTAACATCAACCTGCCTCCGCAATCTCTCTCCGGAAGGATGAATCTGGAAGCGACAGCATACCCGCCATTCGATCCGAATCGACACGATCTGCCTCGGAATTCATTCCAGTAGCTGTGTGGCAGTCAGATACGCTATTACATAGGCTGTATCATGTCTCGTATATCTATAAGGTCTATTTATCTGTATATATTATTGCTGATAATGGACCATTTGCGAGGCCAAACCCGTTATTCAGTTGCAAACGTCAATTAAAGTTCCGATAAATTAGGATGAACATAAGAACTGAATATTAATGTTAATTACTGTCTAAGAGCTTAGATACTAACTGCCAATCTATTCTACTGGTATCTGTATGTACCTTAATTCCCTATAATCAGAGAATAAATCAGCCAAAACAAGCACATAACCAACCCCTCTCTAAGATTCTTTCCTCAAAATCAACAGACCTATGTACACACATACTACACCCGTCGCCGCACAACCGACGCCTTGAAATACCTCTGATAGATCGTACAGGGGAGGCATATATACGCAGCAGTCTCGTAGGCGAGAGGTCTCTCGAATTGAGACTGGGTAGTCACCTTCCATGCTGTGCCGAAGACTTTCCCTTTCCCTCCGTCTTCTCGTTTTTCTTCCTGCAGGATTATTGGAATCAGAGCAGGATAAACCCCCCACCCACATCCTAACCTTGAATGAACCCCGTAATCCAAACCCCGTTCTTTTTTTTTTTTGACGACGACGGGAAGATCGGGAAAATCCAGCACGGCCTGTAAGACTTCGGGGTCCATTTATTTTTTTATTAGGGGAGCCGTAGAAGAAGAAATGGCGTGACTTGAATGGGGAAGGGGAAGAAGAAGTAGGGGATGGGGGTGGGGGGGATGCAGCGGCTTTTCTGCGGACTTTCTTGTGATTATTGATTTTGTCGGCTGCAGAGGCGAATTTCCTTGCCAGGAGAGATGATGATGAGGGTTTTGAGATGGGAAAATTGGGAGGTGGTGGTGGTGGGGGTGGTGGAGGCGGTAAAGGGATATTATTTGGTGTGTCTGGCTGAGATTCACGAGTATTGCTGTTGCTGGTGCTGTCGTTGTTGTCCATGCTGATAATATATGGATGGATATATCGAGTCGATATTATAGCGCTGAGTCGAGTACCTAGAGAGGTGGTATGTGTGTAGGTATGGATTTTAGGACGTCTTAGCCGTACGGTACCTTAAATTTAAACCACACGCCGGCTGTTGTATGCCTACCGTATGCTTGATGTTCCACCAACACCATCCTAAGACAATCTTTATCCTATATGTCTTGCATAGTCAAACCTGTAGATACAGTAGCATAAATGATTCCTGCACATGGATGTATTTATTACACACGTTGTATACAGAGCAGCTTTACAAGAATTTTAACAAATACCCGCTGTAAGCTCAAAATGAATACTAAGATGGAGCCAGGTTTATTATTTAATTGATCCTTTCTGTCTGAGTATGCGATATGGCTGAGACTATCTGTAACTTGCATTCAGCCTGCTTACTTATGACACCCAAACAGGATGACAGTACAGTAGACAGACGGCTTTGTTCTTATGGCAAAGAATTTACTATCAAGAGCAGCGTGTACATGTATATAGTAGATACAGCAGGATTAAAACAAGATTCTTCTTTTTTTTCTCTATCGACTTGGATGTGGCTGAGGATCATTATATTGAGAAGCAAATTGCAGGGACTACATGGTAGAAATTAGCAAACTCTATGAGAAGAAAAATATGATCAGATGACATCCTATATATAAAACAGATTTTCTCAGTCATGCTGTGCGCAACTCGGATGTTATTATTGTCTGTAAGTGACAGGAAAAGATCCTAGATTTATCTCCGCCTGAAAATAAGGACCCAGGTTTCTTGAACTGAATGCCTGGTACGACGACTCTCTCAGCTAGGATCACTTTCTTTGTCCACAGTAGGCGATAGTAGTCAATATTGCGCCACTCTACCCAATTTAACAGCTCCCACTTGTGCTCTTTTCTTCCTTTCTCTAGCTTCGAATTCTAGTATTGACTGAGCCGTCACAAAAATGAGAGCATTATGATGCTCAACCATGTATTACCTTCTTTTTTTTGTTGATCCAAACCTCCTTAATGGCAAAAAGAAAAAAAATACTTATTATTGAATTGGATACTAATTGTTCTAATTGTTACTATTGCGATGGTTTATAGACGGTCCTTGTGAGCAATAGTACAGAGTATATAGAGAAGTTAGGGTTTACCCCTGCCAAGCCTACCTAACCTACCTACATAAACTACTGTTACAACAGCATACTATGACAGCAAAGTTGTAATCAATTCCTTTGTTGCAATTACCTATCTGTTATCAATGTTAATGCAGTCTTGTGGTGACTGGTTCATGCTACCTTATGTATGTACAGTACTGTAGCTGGCTGTCAATAGCCAAAACTCCTCTGGGGGTAAACGCTTCATAAGACTGAGAACCTTAGTCCAGTGAGTAGTGCAGTGGTGGTCAGTTTTCAATGAGCGTGAAATAACTAGAAGGATTTTAGATTGTACACTTTCTACTATTGTGACCTCGTCACGGCAGAATACATAGGAGAGGAGGGGAAGAAAGAAGTACAGGATATCAGACCTATCTAATCTATCCCTTATTAACTGTCTGGTTGGTGAATGCTTGTCTGATGGAGGGGGGTTGTTTGGGTAATTTGCAGTGAATGTTTAACAGTGAATGAATGACATGCCCCCATCCAACGAGAATAGACGGGACTAGACAAAGAGACCTACTTATCCTTATCCGAGCAATCCAGGTGAATTGGTATCATTCATTGTAGCTGCTCATCCAACGAGACTACATGAGAATAGATAAGTCTCTTTTATCTAAGTAATCTAGATGAATTGGTATTATTCATAGGAGCTTGCTCATCCAACAAGACCAGATAAGACTAGACAAAGACAATTCTCTTTGTTTGAGCAATCTAGCTGAATTGGTGTCATTCATAGAAGCTACTAAGACATTTACAAAGTGAATAGTAGTTGCTGATAGCATGGCATGAAATGATATAAATAGTTTCCACTGTCCTTAAATTAAGAGAGTTATTTATCACGCGAAGAAGACAATCTTCAAATCTCCAACACTGTTGAAAACAGCGTGTCTCTCCAGATCGCGTGACAATACCATCGATCCATTTTTCCTCGTGTTCTCGAGACGTCGTTTTGAACCTCCAAGATGTCTTTTCAACCGCCGCAAGCTTACATCCCTGGCACCGTAAGTATCACTTCCCAACCATGGACGATAGGAGATTTTTTTTATCTGACATGAATTCTGTACTACGATGTCCCCGGGATCCGAAGTGAAATTGAGGCACTTACGCCTCATAGCAAGGAAGGGGCTGTTGCAGGAGTATGGAATGCCATACTCCACGGGCAGTTTCCGGACTAAAATGGCTACATCGCTCGCCCGGAAGAGAAAAACGACATGGGCTATTCGGATCTGGCGACAATCCACTGGACACCACCACCGAGTGGTGGTGCTCCTAGGCCACGCCTATTTCTAATTGTCCAGTGCAAAGGGTCCGACCATGAGGGTCGGAACCGCACATGGAGGGATGGGGCAAGACAATTGGGCGACTATATTTACGCCCGGGTGGGACAGAGGATGGGAGCAGATCGGACGCCTGTATATGGCGCTCTCTGTGTTGGCAGATACGTCAGATTTTTTTTTTAAGTATGATTACAATGGCGGCAATATCGACAACTGGGTTCCTGACAGCGCCGTGAATCCTTTCTGCATTGGCACAGATTGCCGCGAAGTCCAATGATCCTCACTTTCCATTAATCATCAGATAGGAATTTCAGAAAGAGAGCATTAGTCCCTTTCAAGATCTTCATGATCCGCCGTCTATTCCGTAAACCATGGGATGTTTCTAGCAGTTCTTGCGCTTCAAAATAAAGCTGCTGCCAGTCCAGATCATCCCTGTCCGCAATTTCTTCATATTCAAAATAATATCTCTGGGGAACTGAGCGCGCCAGTACGTATTTGGGATCAGAAGATCCCACTGGGGGAATACCTGGAGCATGTTCTGGATGTCCTCGTAGTATTCGAGAAAGTCCAGAATGGCAAGGATGAGATCAAGAGGAAGAACGTAGGATAAGTACAGGGATTTTTTTTCCCCTTGGCCTCCGCTGCCTTCTTTTCTTTTTCTTTGAAGCAGCCTTGTCGATGAACTTCCGAACCTCAGGGATATTGAGAGGATCTCTTTCCGAAAAGACCGTATCCGAACATTCCATATTCTTCTCGTAGGAACGCAGGTACTTGCGGGGGTTCTTCACGAACTTGTCGCCATATTCATGCTCCAAGATGTCCCATTGTCCTTCTTCGCAAATCTTCTTGTCGAGTTCATAGATGCGCTCTTGCTTTCTTTGACACAGAGCCTTGACAAAGAGGTCCAGGTTCTTTTTGACCAGGCGCACATCAATTACGCGTGCCATCAGGACCCAGCACCGCTCATGCACGGCATAGCCACACGGATTGAAATCCATGCAATCATACTCGAGGGAGCTGACGTACGCCTCGACGAACTTTTCCGGCGTCTGATGCGGGTCGCCCATGATGACTTCGTCTCGACGCCGGGGCACCATGAGGAATCGGTCCCAGGGCCCATACAAGGCCACGCCAGACACATGATACGTTCGGCGGTCACCTCGACAGTTCTGGAGGACTGACCATGTCAATGCACGCAACGATAAGAGTTGGTGGGTGATTCCACTCACTAGCTCGATACAGGCGCTCCCACACCGATGGGATCCGAAAATACACCTCGTTCAGATCGGCCGGACGGCAGGAGACAAACCCATCTTGCTGGGCGCGGTTGCTCCATTCGACGTTTTCTGTGAATATTTGCGTGGATTGAGTCGTTTTTTTTTTGCGCCCATGCTTGCCTAGGAAAATCTCTCCACACAGGCTGCATTGAGGAATATGCTGGGGACGCCATTTCAGCGAGCCTAGTTTTCGCATCTTCGCAAAACAATAGATTAAGGACGATGGGGACAGATTGTGTCAACTGGAGAGATTCAGGAAATCGTTTCATTGTGCTCATCATTCGCAGAGTTTGCTCCCCCGCAACAGCCCTAACTCTGAAATATGTCATTATGAAGCGTTCACGGACGGAGGAGTGTGCATCTTGATGACATCTCTAGCAATGAAAAAAAATTATTATTATATTGTTAAAATAGCACGATCCTCCGAGAAAGGGTATAATATGCAAAATGTTCCTGCAAATGACCACGGTGTTAGATGAGCATTCATATATAGATCCTTAACCAACTTTGCCTCAGCCTCCTTCCCTTTCTCTCCTTCCAAGAAAGGAATAATAAGTCTAAATTTACTTTATAAAAAGAAATAAAGATAAGAAAAATGTACAATAGCAATTGTATGTCTCTTCTCCTGAGAATAGCGCCGTGCCACTGTATTCAGGCGATCCTCTAACAAAATAGACCTAGCTGCCGGAATGGGAAATTCCCGTCTTGGGAAATTATAGCAATTATCACAAGGACAATCTACGAACCATAACGATAAGAAATAAATATAAGTACCAATTGTTTTATCTTTTTTTTATCAAACATGAGAACTCTTGGATGACCTAGATATCTTCAATTGTTTCTTTTCCATCAAATTGTAGCGACTGAGCAAGTCTGATCTCTTCTGACATGGTGCTCCGTCTCAACGCCTCTATCTCCTTTATGATAATGTCTGTAACCTGTCGTAAGATAGTATATAATTACATATAAGCCAATTCTGCTGGTATTTTACTGTATACTATTATTATTGTGATTCCTTCTAACTACGCAGAAATGAAAACTTCCCTGTTCCGTATACTCTAGTATATTCTCTCCCTTTTGTAGCAGGTACTTCTATGGGGGTTGCTCTTAACTATAGTTAGCTATGGTATAATAGATATGCTTTTTTTTCTAGGTACATGTACTGGAGAATAATACCGTCAAGTCTTGTTGAAGGATCGTCGCTTGCTCGACCAATTTTGCCTGGTTTTTTGGACTACTTTTCACGAGATCGATAGACCATCTTCTTGTATTTCATTTTATTTTATAATAAAGCTTTCTGAACCCCAGCAGCTCACGATTCAAATACCGATTTCATTAAGAAGGCAATATTACCAGACATCTGACGCTGGAATCGATATCTAAATCAGTTTGATCCTAGAATATCAATCAATAGACCAAGTTCGTTCTATCTATTTACATGTACATACATAAACAAGAAAGAGCTTCGCTCCTCGTACTCTTAACAGCAGTTTCCTTCATTTTTGATTATAAAAGTCAAAAGAAATGGCGCCTTCCCAATGCTCATCTCATCCATCCATGAACCATTGAAAAGGGAGAGATAAAAAGAAACAGAGAGAGAAAGGTTGTGAAACATCTCATCTAGTGTTGCAGACAGAGTTTTTCTTTTTATAGATCGTCCAGGCTTCTGACTTTGATGCGCCTGTTCTCAACCGCTTTCTTCAGGTTCCCCATCACCTCTTTCCGCCGCTGATTCCGCGCTTTCCATCTCTCGCTGTCCTGGACAGTCGCGAAATCCGCCTCAAAGTTCACGTTCCGAAGGCGACTGTGTCGTCCAGACTCGTTGATGCTCGACCGGAACTTGCTCGTCGACTCCGGCGTGTGATACGCGCTCCGGGGACCGTCTTCGCGCGACCCACGAGAACCAGGAGTCACAGGCAGCCGGCCAACCGACTTCTTCAGCGGCGTCGTGAACGGTGAGCCTTCGCGACTGCCAGGTCCGCCCGTAACATCAATGCCTAGCTTCTTTATCTGAGCCTCCAACACGTCGATATCACTGCTCTTGCTCTCCGCCATGCTCATCATCGTCGCGATCGTCGATGTCACAGCCTCAACCGTGGGCTTCCTCGTCGACGGTCGCCGCGACACCGACCCATTGACAGCATCTGCGCGGGAGGTGTCGGCAATCTTAGCCCGGAGAAGCGATACCGCTTGTTCCAGCTCCGCCAGCTTGCTCTGGATCGCAGCGGAAGACTTCCGCAGGTCCTGCTGCAGATTGGCTTGCTCTGCCGACAATGGTGCGGACCGAATGGCAACAGTGTCGGTATACGCATCCAGAGTCTTCTGGATGCTCGCACATTGACCACGCAGAGTGAATATGTCCCGGCTCAGCAGCTCCTGGCACTGGTCGAGTTTATCTTGTACGCCCCGTAACCGTTGCCGCTGGAGTGTGCGATCAAGCAAACTGACTGTCTCGTCGAGATTGGCGATATCCGCAAGCAATAATTCCTCGTCAACAATATCCGCTGGATTCTCTCCTTGCAGAATCCGCGCCCAGTGGCTGATCGTGGACTCCTGCGATGCCCCCTGGTACAGAAGGTATGACGCGATGGACCGAGCGTTGATGCCCAGCGTATCGACCATCGAGTTAATGTCCCGGTACAGTCTCTCAATCTGACCCGGAATGCCTGGCTTGAATGAGACTCCAGTGGGCTCCTGGCGTGAAAGGAAGGGGTCAAGGGTTGGCACTGGGGAAAGTGGTCGGGCAAGGTCGGCGCGGAGCCTCTCATCCTCATCATCTTCGGAGAGGGCCTGTGCCTCGGAGGTAAGACGATTTATCTCCGCGGCAGCAACCTTAGATTCCTCTTCTTCAATCAAATCCTTCTTGGTTAGTAGTGGCTCTGCTGCCGATGGCTGTCCGGCGGTAGCCTTTCGAGAAGCGAGAATGCTTCCCGGACGACCCCGTGCCGCTGGTCGGACCGGGCTGGGAGATCGAGGACTTGGAACGTCAGTTCGCGTTTTAGGTGGCGGTATAACGGGCTTTGAAATCTCTCCGAACAAAGGTCTCGTCGTCCGTTGCTGCTGCTTCTCGGGCATCGAGATCTTGGTGAAGAGTCCTCCCGTAGGACCCTTGTCAGCCGGAGCCGCAAATGAGCTCTCCGGAGACGTCTTAAAACTCTCGTCCTTTTCACTTGGAGGACTGATATCATGAGTCACATCCTCTCCGCTGTCCTCAAAATCACCCTCGGATCCCGCAGACTCGTCTGGGAGTGCAACAGGCTCTTCTTTGGGCGTGGCGCGCTGTTTCGGCTTGACCAAGTCGGCAGGCAGTGGTCCATCCTCGACGGCACCCTTGTCAGCGGACGTCGTCTTCTTCGGCAAGAAGTCTGGCGGAAGTGGCGCATCCTCAACCGGGCTCTTGGTAGGAGATTTAGCTGCTTTGCCTTTAGGCAGAAAGTCGGGTGGGAGTGGTGCATCCTCAACCGGGCTCTTGCTAGGGGATTCAGGAGCTTTGCCTTTCGGCAGAAAGTCTGGAGGAAGGGGTGGCTCTTCGGGCTTTTCTTCGGCAGTAGACTTCTTGATGGTAGTAGGATCCGGTGGCAAGGGTGCATCCTCGATGGAGCTTTTAGAGACATTCGACGACGCCGATGTATCGCCTGGACCATAGACGGCCCTACTAGTCGACTCAGGAGGCAAAGGAAGTTCCTCAGTCTTCGCAACCGGTGTTGCCTGTTCCTTCTCCGCAGGTTGACTTGGCACAACCGTCTTTTCAGAGGGTGAAGACAAGGGGCTTGGCTGCCTCGCTGCGAGACCTCCAAAGAGAGAAGTCGGCCGACTGGTCTCGGTAGCTGCCGGACTCGTAGTCGTTTGCGATTGAGTTCCGAAAACCGAGCCGGTCGTTGCTGGCGTAGTAGCAGCAGGGCTTTGGGGAGCACCGAACAACGACGGCTTTTCAGGCTCAGTAGACTTCGCTGGTTGTGGTGCCGCCGGTTCATCTTCCATATCATCCATCGCTTCGGTCGGTGGGCTCGCTTTGGAGGAAGTCCCACCCAGTAGGTTACCAAAGCTCGCGCCCAACGAGAATGCTCCTGAAGGCTGACTAGAGGTGGTTTCGGCCTCATCTGCCTTCTCGTCGCGCTTGAAGGTTGAACCCAGCACAAAGCCTTGAGAACCCAGTCCAAACGGTCCTTTAGAATCAGCAGGCTGCTGCTGGGTTCCGAAAGATGATGATGTGGCTGTCTGAGAACCGAAAAGAGGCTGGCTGGGTTTGCCGAAAGGACTGTCCCCCGAAGGTTTGGAGAAGGGGCTTTCGGAAGGCTTGGCCTGTGAGGCCAGAGCTGCGAATCCTCCAGCTTGCGAGAAAGCACTGAAGCCAGCACCAGTCTTGCCTGCAGTAGGAGAGGCGAAGGAACTAAAACCCTGACCCAAAGCTGATGGTTGACCAAACGCAGGGCTCGATCCTGTTCCAAAGCCCGGCTTCCCAAACTGAGGAGCAGCACGCTGTCCCAGCGGACTAGGGCTGCCGAATGCAGGAGTGGTAGATCCGAAAGCTGAACCTCCTCCAAGAGCAGACGGAGTTCCGAAGGTAGGTTGCTGGCGGGCCGCGCCCAAGGGGGACGGTGTGCCAAAAGCCGGTTTGCCAAAGGCTGGCTGTTGAGCCTGGGGAGAACCAAAGGCTGGCTGTCCAAACGCAGGCTGGCCAAAGGCGGGTCGTTGGGCCTGGGGGGTGCCAAACGCTGGGGCTGGAGCTGCAGCGGCCTGCTGCGCTGGCTGCTGACCCTGCTGCAAAACCGCTAGGCCATGGTAAGGTGTTTTCTGGCGAATAGACTCCGAGTAGATAAACCACCACGAGACCAAGATGCCTTCGTTGTTCAAAACCATGATATTGGGCAGGGGGTTGGGAGACTCGGCGATATCTGCCCCAAGAATGGGGGACTGTACATTTTCGGTGCTGGAAAGGTCTACCCCAAGCCCAATCGTAGAAGTCTCCTCGGAAGCCTCTGTCATCGGAAGGGTCGCCTGCCGTACCTCATCGGCGATACTCGTCGACGCAAAGACGTTGGTGATTTCATCAGTGGTCATGCTGTCAGTCAGCGGCTCGGTGGATCTTGTTATCAAACCGAGATCGGTGGATGCGGTCGACGAGAGGATGAGAGCATCCTTAAGATGCGGCTTGAAATCCCTCAGACGTGCGACGAACTGGTAGGCCGGGGCACGCTTGACGCCGAAGGGCAAACACACGTCAGGCAACTTCCGGAACAAGAACGGGGCCTGCTGGCGTCGTTGGACAATATAGTAATCCGACGCTGGCACAGAGCCCATCTCGTCCTCAGCGTCATTAGGCGTATAGATAATCAGGAAGAGGTCGTTTTCAAGCCACGAAATAGACGACACTGGACAAGGTCAGATGTGCAAGAACCAGTAGTAGGATAACTTTCCGGACTTACCGTGTTTGTTTCCCTCCAGCTCTGGTGGACGGGGGATGTCAGCCTTCTTCACACCTTGGGGATCCAACTGATAACAGGTGCCGTCTGCAAGCCCTGCGACCAGCTGCTTCCCCTTGGAACTCCAAGCGACCGAAGCCACGCCGTTCTTCAACACAGGACCGGACGAGCCGGACACAAGAGATCCCGCCTTCAAGTCGGCCACCAACAGATCACCGTTCACCGTCACCATCGCAACCAAGGAGGAAAGCGCCTCGCTTTCTGGCGCAGGATTCGGTGCCAGAGCACGAAGGGCAGCGCCATTGGTCGAGATCGACAGCTTGGGCTGTGGATTTGGCTGCGACAAGGTGGCGGTTTCGTAAACGACCAGTTGACCGTCGCCTTGCATCGATACTGCCAGCGCATTCTCTGAAGCGCAGAATGCAACCTGCATTGGTCGACTGGGCAGTGGGATGCGGCCTTGAGGCTCAAAGGGCTTTAGTTTCACGCCTTCGTCGGCTTTGGCGGAAATCGCCTCTCGCACCGACTTGGTGCTGGCCACCACCAGACCGTCGGGACCACCACCCACAACTATTCCCTTGGTGGGCGCAACAGTAAGGAGGGAGCTCGTAGGGGGAGGGAGAGCATCAGCGGGCCAAGGAGTTGGAAGAAATCGAATGTGGCAGTCGCGGTCAACGCCTTTGAACCCAACTTCCTGTAGCAACTGTTAGCGATCGCAAAGAAAGAAAGCTCAAGACGGCGCGTTTGACATACCCCAGTGCTGATCTCAGGCAATTCAGGACCTAATTCAGCCTGCGCATTGCCACCGGCACCCCCGCCGGCAGCGGAGCTCCCGAAGCTGAAGGCCATCCTGAGCTTCTCGAAATCGGCAGAGACCGTGCGTGATGCGTCGCCTAGCGAGTATCTGGTCTTGGGAACATTGATGGCTCGCGGGCTAGGAGGAAGAGAGGGAAAGGAGCGGCGTCGGAGTGACTTGGGACTCCGCTGGAAGAGCTGCAAGGTACGGTCAAAAATCTTGGTGGGCCTCCCTCAGCTGGGAGGGAAGAACCAAGCGAAAAGAGAGAAAAGCGCGAGAAACAAGAGCCAAGAGAGTCGCCGGGAACTGCAGAGCTACGAGCAGCAGCTCATCCGCGCGGGTGAGGGGGGTTGCAGGGAGGAAGGATGGCAAAGAAAGGCGTTTGCCCTGACGTCGTGAAGCGCGCAGGAAGCTTGAC